TACTTCCAAATAATAAAAGTTCATCAGATTGGTGAAGTGGTTAATTAATTTGATAAAATTAATCAAAATATTTATATATTGGATCTTCATCAAAATAGCTTATCTTAATTTTATCATTCTTGAAACTGAAGTTTATTAGATTTGTTAGTTAGAGAATTATTTTCATAAAATAAATCAAATATTTAAGTAAAGAATTTATTCAAACTAATTTATTAGATATTATATAATACAACAACTATCTAATTTTACTTGACAAATTTAACAATGTATATAAACAATATTAGGACTATTGATCTTAAGGATTTTAAGTATTTAAAACATTAAATTTATATATATAGGAAATATTTCATTATTTAATCAACAATAAGAATCATTTTATTTATATATTAATCTATATTTAACACAATAGATGTTTAATTAATATCAATATATTAAAACCTCAATAAATAGATATTTAATTTAATGAAATCCATTAAAGTAATTATAAAAACTAAAATTCAAGTCATTTGTCTCAAAAGCTACACTTGTAAACAATATTTATATAAATCATATTCTTTAAAAAATCAAAGGACTATCAAACTAAATTTACACAAAGAGAGTAAAATCAAATTTAATTTGATCATCTCAATAATAAAATGATCAAAGCGACTACCATATAATATAAATGAACCAAAACAAAGAAACAATGGTATCCAAGATAAATACCCAATTTAAATTATATTGACCATTTAGTCACTAATTTCTATGTCAATTTTGAGAATGATAATTTTCTCAAAAAGCTAAAGTTTTTCCCAATTTCAATAAATAGTATTTGACTCTGCTCAGACCTTCAGAAATTGAAAAAATTGATTAAATTAAATCATTATATTATAAAACCCTTTATAAATATATAAAACAAAAATAAAATAACTTAATTCTATTAAGTTTTTTACAATTTGGTTGCCTATTAAAATCATATGATATTACATAATCTGATTTAATAATTTGTCCTCTGCTTCTTCATTATACAAATGAATTTAATAAATTAATTATAATAAATATTACCACAATGGAATTCATTGATGAGGATAGTGATGCCCAATAAATTTGTATGTACAATTTATTATGCATGGATAAATTTTGTTCCAAATTGCACCCTAGAGCATTTGCAGGAATATGTATAGGATTTTTAAATAGTTATTGCAAAAATCAATCAATATGTGGGCTATAACATTTCAGTATTGAATAGCTAAGAGACAAAATCCAATAGCATCCAATTAATGGAATTCGGTAGTACAATTTATGCCCGACAAATTGTGAAAACTTGAGATGTAGATACCTGCATCCTCCATGGTTAAAAAATATCTGTCTATAATGCTTAAATAAAACTAAATAATGCAAAGGTGAGCCAGCCTTAATTCATAAAGTGACTTGGGATAAATTAAGAGATATTGTATACAAAGAGTATTCAATTTCTGGAGTTAATCCGGAAATGTTTTGCGTTGAGATCAATTGTGATTGTCCTGCAAAAATCTACAATTTTGATCAATTTTGCATAAAGAATTTCAAAGGCATCTGTCCGATGTTAGATGGCAGATGTATAATGCCTCACAAAAGCTGGGAAAGTCTAAAAGAAAATTCACTCTAGAAAGTAAAAGAAAAAGCAATTGTTGCTAAAGGGTGTATAAAGTTTGATGAAAAAGATAAAAGTTTTATTAAATAGCAATAAAAACAATAAAATATGCAAGTGTTTATAGAGCAAAGTTCACTTTCGACAATGGTTAACCAAATAGAACTTCGACCCTAAGTGGACATTATATTTATCATAGATTGTACCATAAGCATGGCAGACTGGTTAATTGCTGCAAAACACAATATCAAATTTATTATTAAAGAATTTACAAAAAAAATTTCGGTCTCATCTTGTGTCAGATTAGCTGCTGTTTGCTATCGAGACTTTACTGATGGACCGAATCATATCTAATACCACGATTTCACGGTTTAGCCAGAAGAAATAGAAAAGTTTATTGATAAATTCCAACCTAATGGAGGAGATGATATACCTGAAGACTTGATTGGAGCCTTAGATGTTGCATATAATTTAAATATTTCTAAACATCCAGACAGTATTTTATAGATATTCACTATAACTGATGCCCCTTGTCATGGGAAAAAATATCATGATTTGATTATTGATGATATGCCTGATACAAATAATTTAGAGGAGAAGTTAGAAAAATTTGTTCAAAAAAAGAAGCGATTTTTTTTTTCATTTATTTCCATTCGATAATAGACTGATAAGATGGAAGAAATTTTTAAGAAGTGTGTTCCAAATTACTCAAGTGCTAAAATTACAGAAAATAAATTTTCAGATTATGTTTTATTCTCGTTATCTGCAACTATGCATAAATCAACAAAAATAGAGGATGATAATGAGTTTATATTTAGAGAAGTTAAATATAGAAAATAATAACAAATGAATTATATTTTTGAAACAAGGGATGGCTCTTACATGAATTAATTTAGATCATAGATGAAAAGGACAAAGTTGGAAAAAAAATATACATTATTATAAATTGAAAAATCTGAACTCAATCTTGAAAACTATGAAAAAGGACAAAATGTTCAGGTATTTAAAGCTTTTGATTAAAAAAATAATATTTACGTTGTATTGAAAATTCCTAAATTTATTATTTAATAGCTAAAAAAAAATTAATTTATTACGGAAGAATTATAGGTAAAATCGAAAAATTACGCTAAAAACAAATATTAATAGCAATTAATCGCTAAATAGTTATCTCATTATTTCAATTAATAATGCTCTTAATAGAACGGAGAATTTCTACCTATTTATTATGCTACACCATTCATATATTATTTTGATCTTCCAGTATTTGGAATAAAGGTCATATATGGAGAAAGCTACATTGATTTAGACATACCTTGGAAGAAATATAGTAACAATGCAGATTTTTTTGAAAAAGAGTACAATTTTACATCTTTTTCCCATTTTACATATGTCAAAACCAATTAAAACCTTATTATCACTGACTTATAAGGAAAATCAAATTTACTTAGTGATCCATGCATTCATTCCAAAGAGTTAGAAGATGAAGGGAACTGCTAAGAAGTTGGTAGTAATAATTTTTTCTAATTTCAGCATTAGAAATGCACCCCATTATGCATTTCTCTTAAATTGCCTAAAAATATGCTTCAAACAGATGCATCATAAATACGATAATACGAGCAAATAATTGATGTATTCGGAGGTAAAACTGATCAAAGTAAACTTTAAAAAATTTGTGCAAATTGCAATTGTTAAGAAAAATTAGAAAATTTATCTAATCTTCAAGAAATTTGTAGTGGATGCCTCGAAAAAAAAAAGTAGGTAGATGTGTCTAAATGTGAATGCTGCAATGAAGAGTTTAAAATTTCATTTAATTATGAATAATTACAGGAAACCTTTATCAACTTCTGTAAAAACTGCAAAAACAGTGACTGTAATATGTTCAACCAACAATGTCATTATTGTCAAAGCAAAATCTGCAAATAGACTGAGAAAACAATTTAAATCCAAAACAAGACTTATTATATCTGCTTAGATGCCTTTCATTACTTGAGATAGATTAGATGCACGCGATGTTAAAAAGAATATTAATTTAAGAAACTTTTGACAAAAGAGGAGTACTGTGATAATCATTATAATTATATTTGCAATACTTGTGCTTGAATTTAAAACGAAACTTAATGAATAATCTCATGAGGTTAGAGGAAATATTGTTTGTTATATAAATCTTAATTATTAAAATACAAAAATTAAATAGATGGGCATTTAATTAAATGTATTTTCAAGCACCTTTCCCTCCATCTTGCTATTACTTTTTAGATCAATTTTTTAATTATTTTAACTTCAATTTTAATTTATCAATTTATAAAATTTAATTATTATATAGAAAAATATACTATAATAAAGTTGTAAATATTAGTGAATATAAAATTCAATATATTCATTAAAAAATTTGAATGAATATTGTCTCAAGGTAAAACTAGTAGTTAATCAAAATAATAAAAAGACTATTTACGAAAGGTTATGAGTTTAAATTCTCATTGCAAATGGTCATAATGTTTCTTAAAAATCAAAATACAATTGATTGCTTAACATTTATAAAAATATGTATAAAATATAATATGATCACCATCAATCCTAAATAGCATTTGATATTTCAAATATTAGAATTCTATTTCCATATAATAAATTTATTATGAATAAAAAAAATAAAAATCGATCTAAAGCATTGAAATCAAAGATTATAAATCCTAAAATACTTGATTTAAGGGATAAAATCTTGAAATAAATCTAACTTTAAATAGATGACTAATAATTTGTTGAGAATTTAATTCTGGACTATGAATTAAAATCATAAGGTTTAAGCTTAGATGACATTTTTGATGGTTGTATATGGAAGGTGATGTTTATATGTAAATTCTAAAACTATTTTCAAAGAATAATTCAATAAAAAAATAAGGGACTTTAAGAAATATTATAATGAAATTTTCTTTTAAGTTTGGTAGTTGTCAAATGGTGTATTTTATAAATAGGATAGCATATCAATTAAATGGTATTTCTTGTCTTAAATGCAAATGTATTAAGTGTTTTTTACTAGTTCAAATAAGGATAAATAATTCATGCTTTTATTCGAATGTGCAGTGATAAGAAAACCAAAGTTTGATAATCATTAGGTACAATTAAGTTTATTCTAGTTTGAGTATTTTGAGTTTATCCACACAATTACATTTATAGATATGTTGATTAAAGATTAAATTAAGGATTCAATAATTAATAATATATTCTAGGAATATTAAATAAAAAATGCACAGGATCCAAGAAAATAATTTCCAATACACTTGAAAGAGAGTTAAGTTAATGGATAATTTGATAAGAGTGGAAAATCTTTGAATATATACCAATTATTTTTAAGAAATGAAGATTAAAATTGGAGTGTGTTCCAATTTTAAAATCATTTTTAAAAGTAGTGTTATTTTTATCCAAACATATTTGATGATCAAAAGATAAAAGACAACTCCAATTTAGTGTAAGTTGATAATCTCTATCTTTATTCAGAAGAGCAATAATATATTAAGCAAAGAGAACTAAATTAATTGAGGATTGAAAAAGATGCTTCGATTTTGGAGTCAATTTAAAACATATCTTCTCTATCATAAATATTGGATACTTTTTATTAGATGTCTGAATAAAAGCCCTTAATAAAAACGACTGATTAAGAGTTATAAGTAATTGACACTAATTAAAATGCTTTGGTTATTGGAAGAAGTGGAACAGGAAAAACCACATGCACAATTCTTAAAATTTTATCTCAATAATTGCTATTTGAGATTTCATATACATAAAATTTATAATAGGAGACCAAATTTAATATTGTGTTTACAACCTCAAATTCATTATTAGTGAATGAAATGAGAAAGTATTTTAAGAAATTAATTTCTTTTGAAAATTCAAAGTAATGTCAGAATTACAATTTTAATAATGATGATGATTTAAAAAGCAATGAAATAAATTAGGTTAAGATTTTGTTAAAAAAAATGAATAAGCGATTTAACAGTTGGCAAATTGATGATAAACAAAGCTTTTTAAATACAAAAGAGAGTGATTTTCCTGCTTTCTTACCATTAAATTAGTTTTTGATATTGATTGATAATTCTTTAAAAAGCCCATTTTTTTAACAAATCAAAATTAACAAAAGAAAAATTGATAATGCAGGATGGCAAGACAAGGAAGGTGTTTTTAATTAAAATATTATTAATCAAAATGAAAATTACAAATTAACTTAATTTAAAGCAGACTTAATTAGTTAATAATAATTTTAACTATATGAAGTTGATTATGAATACTTTTGTCATACTTTCTGGACGACAGTAAGAAAAAATAATTTTAATTTAGAAGAAGAAATATCTTTCAGTAATTTTGTATGGTGTTAGATATATTCAATAATTAAAGGATCGTAATTTAGTCATACATATCCAAATCGTTATCTACCAGAATAAATTTACTTAAATTATCAATAATAATAATAAATAGATTAATAAACATTACTAAATGTTTATTCCTACTTTGTGTTATATGAAAAATGGAAAAATCAACAAGGTTATTTTGATTAGATGGATCTTGTTAATTACTTAATTTAAAAAATAAAATTACATGAATATCAGGGTGTCAATTTGCATTTCTTATTTGTTGATGAAGTTTAGGATTTCACTTAAGCTACTTTATTTTTATTCAACTTGTTGGCAGAATAACGAATAATGCTATCAGGCGATACAGCATAAAATATTGTAAAAGGTGTAGGATTTAGATTTTAGGATTTAAAATAACAAATTTTTGGCATAAAAGATTTTCTAACACACTCATTAACAGTTAATTTTAGATCTCACAATGATATTTTATAATTGGCCAACAATGTTATATCAATTATTGAAATTTTATATCCGAAAACAATAGATAGTCTAAAAAAAGAATAATCTGCAGATTCAGGACCAAAACCAACAATCATTTCTTCAAAAGATATCAATTCTATCCTTTATTTAATGCAAGGTCAAGATGATGGTAAAATAGAATTTGGATGTTATCAAGCAGTTTTATCAAAAAACCATAAGAATATTCCTGATATTTTGAAGCATCTAATAGTATTAAATATCTAGGAATGTAAAGGATTAGAATTTGATGATGTTATTATTTATAATTTCTTTGATGACAGTTCTATACCATAAAATCAATGGGAATTGTTAAAATTTTTAACAATTGAATAAATTGATGGAGAGAATAAAATTAGACCAAAACCTAATTTATAAGCAGTTGATATGAAGACTTATTAAATATTATGTATTGAGTTGAAATATTTGTACGTTGCTATTACTCGTGCCAGAAAAAGAATTTTTATTTATGATTAGAATCCTAATTCCAGAAAATACATAGAAAAAATCTGGACTGATCTAAAATTAATTAATATTCTTAGATTTGAAGATAATTGTGATAAATCTATTAAAATTGAACAGCTCATCATAATAAAAAATTCTGAAAAAGAATGGGATGATTAAGGTATCAAAATGTTCTAATTAAAATTTTATGAGTAAGCTGCGAAATGTTTTAAATACTCGAAGAATTAAAATATGGAGTATTAAGCTGAAGCTTTTTCATTAGCATCTTAAGCTTAATAAGGATTATTTCAATTAGAGTCAGAAATTAGTTCTAAATCTCACATTAAAAAAAATAACTCTTTCCATTCAAAATAATATTATTTTGATGTATTTTAACAAGCAGGAGATAAATTCATAAAAGCATTTTAATTAGAATAAGGAGCTGCTTGCTATTTTTCTGGAAGAAAATACGAACTTTCCTTAAGATATTATTTGTAAGCTTAATCTTGGAAATCAGCATTAGCAACAATAGAATACGTAAATAATTAGGAAGTACTAGCAGGAATTCTGCATTGGAAATGCAAAAATTACGAACGTTGTTTAAATAATTTTGAATCTTTTGGCAATCCAATTATATTTGTTTCTATTTTGGCCTTTCTAAAATAATAACTTAATTATCGTTTATTTTAAGCTAAATTTCATACTTGGTTTCCATTATTAATCTTAAAACTTTCATAGTTGAAACCTCCAGATTTAACATTAGATTTCTCACTTTTAACTGAAAATGTACCTGATTATATTCAACAGTTTAAGGGTATTCTTCATGTTCTACATACTTCTGTAAAATTAGATATCTGTTAGTAAGAATAACTATTGGATTAGATATTTAATTTTGTATATCTTTTTTAAGATGATATCCTTTAGTTAATGACTAAAATACACATTAATTATAATATAGAAGTATCTAAACAAATACTGAAACATGAAAATTAAACATCCTAGTTTAGTATCAAATTAAAAATATAATTATTATAGGACATATTCACTTATTATAAGTTAGATTCATTGTTAGCATTATTGTATCAATGCTTTAATATAAAAGATTAGACAAAACGTATTATTGGAATGTTTTATAAGGAATCATTTCTGTTTAATAATTAAAATAAACTGTAATTATCTAATGATCCCATCATAACAAAAGATATTTTTCAAATTGTTCCTTGCAATTGGACAACAAAAAATTATCTCTAACCAACCTTTTAGTTATGCTAATTAGGATTTTATGAATCAGGAATTTAGTTAATACAAAAGATATTATCTTTAAATAATTTATCTGAATAATAATTCAAATATTGTAAGGAAGATGAAGCTGAAATAAATTATGTTTTTTTCCAAACAAGTTCATAAATAGGCTTTGATAATATAATATCATAATTGGACCTCTATTTTTAATAAGGATCATTCTTAGGAAATTAGGTTAGGTAAATTGATGGATTTGCTTAGATAGAATCAATTAAAAGTAAAATTGAGACTAATCAAGCTTTGGCATAGGATGAAATGTAATTCCTATTTTAAAATATTAACCCTTTACATTTTTAACAATAAGTTAATCCTGTTCTTTAAAGTAAACAATTATTAGTTGGCATAATTCTCTTAAAAATAATAGTAGAAATAGAAAGGATTCAAAATCATGTTATCTATTAATAATTAAATGGATTGGGTCATGTAGAATATCAACATTTCATTCGATTTATTTAAGTTTGCATTGATCTCTGTAAATACAATTAAGACTTATATTTTTAAATTATTTGTTTGTATTCTATCTAATGTGTATTCTCTCTGAGAATAGCTTCGAAATTAACATTAAATTAACTATCCTAATCAGTAGTTTTTATACATAAGAATTCAGTATTATTTAAATTTAATCTAATAAATTAAAATGGATGCAAATTAATAGATAATCAAAAATAAGTCTACCTGTTTAATTCTAAGGAAGTATTAAATATTATTTCCAATTACCTAAAAGGGTTTCTATTGAATTACAGTAGAAAATACTTTCATCGAGAATAGCAAAACATTTCAAAGGCCCCTTTCATAATTTAACATTTCACATATTTAAGAGTAAAATTTAAAGGGAATATAGATGTTCCTGAAGGAATAAAAAAATTTTAATTATTTTAGGAAGTCTATTATGATTTTTATTTAGAAAAGTGTGTTAAATTGTAAATAATTGATTCGTTATTTACAATAATCTCGCAATGTGCTGAACCAAGATTGATATTAACCAAAAAAATGTTAGCTGAATTATCGACCTATTACTTTTTTAAAGGGTTATAGGAAACAGAAATGTAATAAATGCATAACTATATAATGATTGGGATATGCATCCAAAATATCTCTCATGAGTAACACTTATCTTTAAGGTTTATCGAACATTTAAAATCAGTTCAAAAACAATCTTGCTTGGATTATTATATTCATTATATCAATTATTTATAAATTACAAACCATTGCTTATCTTTAGATGCTTGTAAGGATTACTTTAAGTTTCATTATTTATAAAAGGAATACTTATAGCCATAATAAATTTTAAAAGATTTATCATTAATAGCTTTGATTTTAATCTTCTACAATGCTATCTAAAATAATGTAAGTACTGTTTTAGTAACTGAATCATCATTAAAATTTCTATAGCATAACTTGACTCCTGGAAATTCTTATCAAATTAAAGTCTAAGAGCAAAATTCTTTAGAGGATTTAAATAGTAAAATCTAGAAAGAATTAGTTGAAAAGATATTTGAATAAGTAAAATATTAAATAGATTAAAGAACTTATTCTGTATATTTAAGACTATTATCATCTATTATTTTAAATGTAGGATCATTATGGGATGGTTTAAGTGATAGACTATTTGAAATGGCAGAAGAATTAGAATACGAAAGTTAGGATCAAGATTTTTAAATCTTGGCTGAATTAGTTTCAAAACCATTAGATGAAAGAAGAAATTACTTATCGCCATTTCAAAAACTTTGTTACATTAATTTTGAATATGCTATTATTTCTGGGAAGGAAATTGAAGAGTATTTAGAAACAAAATACAAAAAAAGATTCTTAGAATCGAGCTTCTTAGATAAAATGAATTTTTAATATTAAGAACATTTTAAAAATAAATTCTAAAATATCTATATTGGATTAAGATTGATTCTTTTTAGACCGTTGAGTTTTAAAAACGGTTAGATTGTAGAAAAGTAAATAGAGGAAAAATTGGTTGGTTAATTATATGAAAAAATAGATTTGATTCGAAAGTAAAATATTATATTGGATAGGTTTTAGGATGTTACTTGAAACTTTATATTCAAAACTAATTGATAATGGTGCCCATTTCATAGCAATAACTGATGAATTACGATTGTTGAGTAATTTGGAGTAGGAAGTTGACTATTTTATTTCAAAGAATGAACGATACGCAAATAAGAAAATCATTGAGCCTTCCAATTTATTGCAAGAATTAGGATAAATATAAGAACAAATAGAGAAATGGAAATTATTGAACCAAGATTTGAATGAGAATCTGAATCTAATGGAGTATTCATTTTAGAAGTAAAAGGAAGAGGAACAAGAAGCATATGAATTATTATAACAAAGAATCAGTCAAATTTTAAAATGAATTATATATATCTATATTAGAATAGTTATTTGAACTAATTATGAAATCTGTATGTTTATAGATACAAGATATGATGGATTATTAATTTCTTTAGAAATAAATTATCAAATTCTTTAATGCAATACTAATAATATAGCATGGCTGAGACAATTCGCCATAGAGATTCAGTGTTTAATGATGGTCAAAGTCTTTGGTGTTATAATTTGTAGAATCTTTTTAAGTCAAAAAACTAAAGAACCTTTTTTGTTAAAACATTAAACAAATCAAAAACAAAAAACCTATCATTGGGAGATTCTCATATTTAGTATTCTAAGCATGTAATAATTCTACGAAATATTAGAAATACATCAGCCTAGTCAATTCCTTTCTGAAAATATTATTTAAACATAATGAAGTAGTTGGGTTTGTTTTGGAAAAGAATGATCACTAGATTGAAATCTATGGAGATACTTAAGAATGGATAGACTCATTTAAAAGCTTGACTATATAATTAGATTTTACATCCACTTATAAAATTGCTAAGAAAATTGGTTAAGGAATAGCAGCGTAAGTATATTAAGCTACTAATAAAACAAATAAACTAAATTATGCTGCCAAGATCTTTGAAAAAAAGAGAATTTTGTTGGAGGAAACAGAAATTATAGCTATTAATAAAGAATTGCATTATTTAAGATTATTATAACATCAAAATATCATTAGACTCTATGAAGTATTTGAAAACAAACAGCATATCATTTTTATTACAGATTTATATTAAGGAGGAGAACTTCATCATTCTTTGAGTAGATATGGTTTAGAAGAAAATCAAGTTGCTGAAGTAATAAAACCAATCATCACTGCAATTAGTTTCATGCATTCTAAAGGTATTTTTCATAGAGATTTAAAACCATAAAACATTATGCTAAAAGAAATAGATGCATTTGAGACTATTTCTTTAATTGATTTAGGATTGGCAGACAAATTTACTAAAGAAGGAAAGTACCTATATAACAGATGTGGAACTCCTGGTTATGTTGCACCTGAAGTATTGCAGGATAAAAAATACGATCTGAAAGTAGATGTTTATAGTATTGGAATTATTACATATCTTGCATTAACAGGTAAAGAGCCATTTGCATCAAATAATTATGAAGAATTAGTATAAAAAAATTATGATGGCAGAATTAGCTTAATCAATTTGAATGTTTCTGAAAATTGCATCGATTTTTTGAAGAGAACATTGTGTAAGGATAATAAATTGAGATTATCGTCCGCCGAGGCATTGGAACATCCTTTTATTACGTTTGGAAAAGGGAATCACATATTTTAAAATAATAAGGGAGCCACGACGTAAAGAATGAGTATGACTTCATTGAGATGCAGTACTGATGCTTCATCTGAAAATGGGTCTATTCCTAAAACCTTTAGAGGTAAAATTTAATAATACATGAATACATTCTAAACTCTTAAATCTGATATCAATCAAGAGGTCAAGAAAGAAAAGGAAGAAAATTTGAAAAAAAGAAAAGAATTCTTTATAAGAAAATCACAATTACTCAAGATCAAATCAATTAACAATAAGCCTAATTTTGAATGAATATTTTTCTTAATATTTTAATTTTAATAAAATTTTGAATCCATCTAATGTTTTCATAGAACCTGTCTAATTTTGAATAAACACATGAGGTTATGTAATAGATTGATTAATAATTGAATGATTATTTACAATCAAGGGGAATTGTAAATAACAATAACTCAGATCGATAAACCAATTATGATAAATTAATTTAATAGACTCAATAAAGAAATTAATCTCTATAAGAATCTAATAATTAAATAAAGAAACAAATCTAATAGATTCAACAATAGATGCAAAATATAAAGCTTGATTTTTAGGAAAGATTAAATCAAAAATTATAATTATAACAAATTGAATTGTCATCCTAATTTGAGTAGAAAGTACAATCATTTGGAGAGAAAGCAAGAATAAAGTTGATGAACACTATTTAATAGGAAGATTAATGTTTATAATAGTTCAATAATCTAGTAAATGAGAAGGCATAATTGTAACAGTAATTAGAAAACAAATAATAGTAAAATGAGTAAATTCAATAGGAGAAGATTGAACTAGAAGCTTCTTATCAAAATTTACTATCAATGCATAATTAATTATTGCAGATTGATATGTCTTAGAATGAATTATCATAAAGCAGAACCAATGTGTTAGGATTATTAAATAATTATAAATAAGAATTGGAATAATTGAAATAAGCAAATGAGAAAATATAAAAATAAATGGGTGGAGAATTGGATACGTTGAAAATAGAATTATAAAAATAAAAATAGGAAAATGATGTTCTAATGTAAAAAATACAATCTTAAAGTTAAGAATAAATAGAATGTGATAATTTATTTAATCAAATAATGTAATAGAAAGCAAAAGATGAATAAATTAAAAAAAAAAAGATTAAATGTAAATAATAAAATACTAAATAACAAAAAGCAAAAATTGATTAAATAGAAAAAGAGCTCAAAAGATTACAAGAAATTGTAAATACAAAAATTCAATAAAAAAAACAAAAATAATAATTATAATAATGATGATCATATATAGTTATATATATTTATATCAAAAAGAAAGAGAATGTAGAAATAATATAAATAATCTAATTGTTCTATTGTTATAATTCAAAATGTATTGCAACAATTTTATCTTTCTTTTTCATTAGCGGCATTCTTTTCAATCTCGTAAAGTTTGATCAATCCTTCATACAATCTTTTGGTAACTGTGGCCTCTGTAACACCAAATCTAGCAGATGGTGAAATATCAGCTGTTCCTTCACTATCCATATTTGAATGTTCACCACCAACACCTCTAGCTTATAATCCTAATGATTTAGCAATATCTTTCAATTTAGCTTCATCCTTTCCACCCTTAGTAATATTTGGGAATTTTCCTAAAATAGATTATCTTTTTCCTGTTCCCATATTTGTTGGACATGTGGTAATGATACCATAAGTTGGATGTTCTGCAAACTTCAATCCACTCTTTTCTATTCCTGTTAATAATTCATGTAATGATTAATCTACTTTACCAAGGTCATTTCCTTAGACTATGGATATGATTCTCAATTGATCTTCTTCTCCAACCCAAACCATTTTGGTTTCATCTTCACTGATCCAAATTCCTCTTCCATATGGCCAATCAGAAGCAACACCATTAGACATTAAGTAATTATCATGTGTCATACTAATGAAAAGGAAGTGTTTGTTTCTCAGAACATCAGCTTCTTAATCTGAAATAAAGTTTTTATGTCCTGGTGTTAAACTATGATATTTTCCAGGGAAGCCAAATTTCTCAAAGACCTCAACCATTTGGTTTTCAAATTTGATTCTCTCATCTTTGTCCATAGATGAGGGCAAGTTGTATCCAACTACATTTCTTGCTACTCTTGCTCTCATTGAAACTTTTTCTAGTTTTGGATCTATCTTTGTAAGAACATATTCACCGACAGGGATATTCCAGTCATGTTCTTATTTGGTTTATCCTTCAATTTTGTGGTATTCTCTAATAAGAGGTTCTAAGTAAAAGAGGAAGAAATCATAATCCTCAGGTCTTGTGGCAGCAATACCAACTGAGCTATCATCGTTGGTCAGTCCTGCAATCATGATGTCTAAGAGTCTTTATTAATCTTCTTGAGAAAGTGTTTTAGCCTTCTCGACTACTTGCTAGGTGAAATACTTATTGCCTAAGCTGACTTTAATTTTTTTCAAGTCATCCCATCTTGCTTGGATTTTGGCATAATCAACATTGCCTTATTCATCCAAATACAATTTTCGTACATCTTTCTTTTCAAAGATTTTCTAAGACATCTTAATTAATAAATATCTTTTGAGGGGTATTTCAAATATAAACTTAATTTCTCAGCAATAAAACGAATTAAATATATAAATTGTGAATATTAATATTTATATATATAATCAGTAATAATACAAAACTTTATATTCAAACTTTCTCTAATTACACAAATACTTCTGCAATCATTTCTAATTTCACAGGTTTGGTAATAAAGGCATCAAATCCAATATTACCACATCTTTCTTATTCATTTTCATCATCATACCCAGAAATGGCTATAATTTTGAGTTCATCTACTTACTTTTTGGATATCTAACGATAATAATATATATTTATAATATACCATTTCTTTAATCATTTCTGTGGCTTACCAACCATTCAATATTGGCATCAATAAATCCATAAAAATATATTTGATATTTTTTTATTTTTAGAAACTTACTAGTTTATTGATAGCTTATTAACCATTATAAGCTTCCAAAAAGGTGATGTTTTAAGAGATATCTTGTAATAACAATTTCAAAGCCAATACATTAAAGGGTTGATCATCAACAATCAAAATAGAAAAATTAGGTTTATTTTATAATATCCTTTATAAACGACTTCTTGGATCGATAATATCTTGTGAATCATCAAGTGCTTGTTCCTTATTTTTGATATTACTTACTGTAGGTGATCTCTAATTCTTCATATAATTGATATTATGAAATTTCTATTGATCAATATCCTCATATTCAGGAAGCAAATCTAACTCCTGATCTATATCATGTTTTTCTACTGGTCTTGAATACACATACAACAATGAAGAACGAACAAATGTTTACTAAACGGATTGCTAATCATCAAATTAAGATTGACTATCAATGTTAAAATTCTTAGAACTACTCTCCTATTTGAATACACTAATGTAGTTTGGAGATCTTTTTGGGTCATCCGATAATCGAGAATAGATTTGAAAAGTCATTTTGGTTCCTTTGTTTTGTTCACTCCAAAGATCAATATTTTCAGACGGGCCCAGTAATTTGATTAATTTCTTGCAGACCATCAACCCAATTCCTGTGCCACATTTGTTTTATACTTCTTTACTTGGGAATGTTGCAAACATATTAAATAACTTTGGCTTAATCAGTTCAGATATGCCACATCCAGTGTCTGCTATTGTAATAGTATATATCATCCTATTGGATCCATTTGATGATTTCACTGATCTACCTGAAAGTTATTTCCTCAATTACCCTATAGATTATTATTAATTCTGTTGTTAACTCAACACATTTTTAGATGAGCCAGTTCGAACAATGTGTTAAGATTTGTCTGTCTAATGGGAAGATACTGAAATAGTTATTGATCCTGATTCTGTAAATTTCAATGAATTAGAAATAAAATTCATCAAGACTTACTTTATTCTATTTGGATCACTATATATTTGATATGTGGGCAAATCATAATGTGTAGTTATAACAACTCCCTTCTATTCTGCTTAGATCGCCACCAATTCAACTACTTCTTCTATTACTTCATTTAAATAGAAGTCGCTGATGCTTAGTCTTAACTAATTCTTTTGAATTCTAGCAAAATCCAATATATCTTGAATCATGTATAACATCAAATATACATTTTTCTTTATTATTCTTAAATAGTATTTCTATTATGAATTAATATCAAATTTCTCTTCCATTGCCTCCACTATCGTTGAGATACCATTAATTGGAGTCTTAAAATCATGAAACACAGTGGCTAATATCTAATCCTTATTTTCGTTCTGTCTCCTACTCTCCTCTAATTCATCATTCAATATTTCTATCATCTGTTAGTTTCTTAAATCTTTCAACGATATCATAAAGGCTTCCTTATAATCCCAAATGCAATGTTAAACTTATATATTTAGTCTTTTTTATTTTAATTCGTTGATTGTATCAAAATGATATTGACTGTCTTTGAATTGTCCAAATTTACTTTTCTTTCCTAATTAAGGAGTATCATCATTAAATTAATTAGAGTGCTAATTTTATAGTATCTTACCCTAGAGTTTAGGACTCTCAATAACTAATTCTTATCTATCTTCATTAATTTCATCATGAATAAAAGTTGACACCTTTTTATGTTAAGGGGAATCCATAAATGAATAGTCCTCATTTGATATTTCTTGAAGTTTGCAATATTAAGCCAATTCCCCAGAAGTTGTTTATAATTTTTACTCATCAAAAACAGAGCTTAATGATTTATGGGTAGAATCTTAAAATTATTCCAGAGTATTAATAAAGTGCTATTGATTTGCAATTGAATAATTAAATTCAGATTCAATTTAATTCGTATGAAATAGAGGCTGTTTTGTTTAGGCATCGATTATTAATATAGCATTAGTTATTGTTCCTTTGAAAAATTCAGTAATTAAATTAGATAGTAATTATTCGTGCTTGTCAATTTTGAACATTAAAGGCACAAATACCAAACCTATGTAAGGGAATAAGTTGGCATAAAATTCTAATCTAATGCATAAGTAGAGATAGACTATAAAAAAAATGCTGATTCGAAATGGACTTCTTTATAAAACTGTTATAAGTACCAACAATCTTATGATGAAGAAGAGCATATATTCCTAATAATTATTATGGTAAATACTGGAGATTGTTATTGTTCCAAGAACTCAATTTGCAAAATTTAGCATAACATATATGAGATTATTAAGTAGCAATCTCTAATCAAGGCATTTAAGCAGTTTTTCTTATGCAAAACTACAAATGCAATCATCAATATTAACTCTGCGATAAATGAAATGCCAAATCGAAAACAGCAGGATTTCTAACAAATATTTACCACTCCAATCACCAGACAAACTAAGACATCACAGATGCCATAATATAGTAATCGATTGTTCATATTAATTAAAATTTATAATATATCAAGAATTCTCTATTTCGAATAATACCCACAAGATTATTTGGGCTATTTCCTGTTTGCATTGTTTCAAAGTTAAACGGTGATATTAAGTTTTAATATTGCTTATCACCTTGACATATTAATCATTTAACTATTTGTTCTTTATTATTTTAGATAGATTAGATATGCATTATCGTAAATTATCTTTATTTAATTATTCTAACAAAAAAGGGATCATTAACTTTAATTTTAATTCTAATCTATTTATGAACTAAAAAATTATTAAATTAAATAATATACTAATTATTCCTTTTCGAACTCCTCTTCCATCTTTGTTAGCTAAGAAATATATTGATAATTCTCAATGTCGAAGTAATCCACTTCCTCAAATTCCTCAAAACTGTTCTACACACTCTATGAATTAGACATCAAAATTCAAATTAATTTCAAAATATAATATAATAAATTCAAAATTGAATAAATTTGCTTCCTGATTTTTAGTAAGGACTCAAACTAGATTACTTAACTACAATCGGAGTCTGATAAACATTCACATTATAATAATGATCCATCGACATGTCCTTCAAATACTTTACTCCATATTGCTATTTTGTTGTAATCTATTATACTTTAGTCAAAATCACAGGTGAATAATGTTAAGCAGGTTGTTCCCTTTTTTATTAAAAATAATGACTGAAGTATTAATTTATTTATTGATTATTTCTTTGTTGATTAGGAGATCCTTCTTGCGTTGGATGACTCTTCTTCTGAGTATTATTATGACTACTTGAATGATGAGTCGAAACCTATGTGATATGCTTATTAGCTGGTTCTGGAATGTGAGTTAAATTCTTCTTTCTGTTTGTCTTCTTTTGCTTGTTTATTAGAGACTCCAAAACCTATTTAGTTTGACACTTCTACTGATTCACTAATTAATTATTTAATTCCTGTAATCTTTGTATTTCCAATTATAAGGCAGAGTTTTCATCTTGTAAAGATCTCTTACTGTTCGGCTTTATTGCTTTGACTAATTAATTCTTATCAAAATCAAATTCAATTTCTATTTCTTAAGCTCCTTATTAAATGAAGTTATCTTTTAATTGAGAGTTGAGTTATTTTTCAAGATTCCAATAATTGCATTTCCAATCATCAAGTTCTGTCTCTAATTTATGAATGTAATCTATTAGTTTGTTGATTCTTTGCACTATGTAGGATTCACTAATATCAAATTATTCTATTATTGGAGATTCATCAAAATTCATTTTATTGAGAGCATTTAGAATTTCACAAAATTTAAAATTTTATGCAACAGACTAGTTTAGACTTTTAATCTAAGGACAATCACTTTCTTCTTAAATAATTTACAAGTCATCCATCTTTTCAATCTAACTATTTTCATTTGGCTATTCAATTATATCCATCTGAGGTTCATCAAAAATTGAATTATCTAGATTGCTTTTTAATTAGGCTATTTCTCTATTGTGTTATTTTTCTTATTCTTAATATTTCTATTGCCATTCCAAGATTATTGCTTCCTATTACTCTATTGTCTCTAAAGATTAAATGAATTTCTATTTCAAATTCTAAATAAATCTTATGATTCCTTACATCTATTTCTTAGATCTTGGTACATAAGTCCTTCCTCAATTGGTCATTCTAATTATCAATCTATAATTAGCAATATAAATACACATGATTAGTTGGTTTTTATGTGTGGCCTAAATTAGGAAATTCAAGACTTTTTCCTTAATTAGAAATTTGATTTATCGAGACTCTGACAGGTGAAGGAATCCAAGATTCTGATCTCAATCTTGCAGACTTATAAACAGTAGTAATTCTTCTTAAAGGATGAGAAAATGATCTTTTCATTACTATCATTTCTGTTAATTAAAAATTATATATGGATTTATCAGAATATATTAACTGCAATGCTCTCCTTAAGAGGTTACATTACAATATGATTTATGCTATAAGTAGAATGATATTGATTTGATTCCATGAATGTAGTGTGTTTACATAAAAGATCTACAATAATTTCAGTAAAACCAATAGAATATATTGACGAACTGATAATCTTCAAGATATTTGATTAAGAAGATTAATTAGTATAATATTATCGTTTGGTTATTAATAATGGTTTCAACAATTTGAGTTGTATGTTATTTTAGAAATGTAAAAGCACATATTATATTTATAAAAAAATTAGTGTTTTTTTAGGCTAAGAAATGAAAATATTAATGATATTACATTATTTATTTTCAAACATAAAATCAATACTCATTTCAATTTGTTAATCTTCCATTAGAATATGGAATTATCTTCACCTCCAGTACTAAAAAGATATTGGTCATCAAAAGACCACACAATATTGGTAATATGAGATGAATGTCCTTTGCCTAGTACATAACCTGAAGCCTTTTTGACACATGGATATCTAATTAAATTAAATGAATTACCTAAAGATTTTGATCTAAGAATTGTCATCTCCTGTGGCTATAAGATAATAATTATCAGGTGGTTTGTCAGATAAAGTATATGTTTGATTTGATCTAACAGCTGCATTTATATCAAAGGCATTTTAAATGTCAGGCCAAATACCTTAGACAGGCCAACCAAATGGAGTTGTCCAGGTTAGCCATTTTTCATCTCTCAATTAATTGGCTCCATTTGGTAATAACTTTCCAGTTTACAATTCCCAAAAAAGCATTTCATATCCTCCACAATTGCTATGAAGATAATTGTCATCAGAAGAGAAATCAATATGTGTTATATAACTTGAATGCTTTTTTAGAGGGTTGTATCTTTATTTCATATCAGGAAAACTGTAGATATATATTGAGTTATCATGCGACCCTATTGCAATCCAAGATTAATCCTTACTAAATTTGATGTCACTTATCCATTCCTTAGCTATTCTACTGACATATTTTTGTTTTAATTCTTTATCGTATATCTATAATATTTAATATAATTTACTCTAATAGTTCCATCTTTGAATCCAACCACAATTGAAATCCCATCTTATGAAACTGCTATACATCTTCCTTTGATGTTATCAGGCAATTCCCCACCTTCCTCTTATTTGATTTCTACTCCATTTCCATCAAGATTTGTTTTTATCATATTCAGCATTTTCTTTTAACTAATTGACCAGGATCTTAGGGTAGCATCATCTCCACATGTATAATATAGATCTGAATCTTAAGGATTTATGGCAAGTCCCCATATCTCATTAAATGATCTTTTGTTTGGATAAAAATGTGAATTCATTATAGTTTTGGAGACAGCAAACTTAGAATTGGCATTAATTTTCGCATCCATTGTAGTCAATTCTACTATATCGCCAGAATTAGTCGAAATTAACAAGGTTTTGAGATCACAACCCAATAAAATAGATTTTAGTTCAAACCCCAATAAATTCCTAATGCATTCTGATAATTTAAATGATAGAATTTGTTAATATGACTTTGAATCCATTATAACTATTTTAGAATCGTTTCCACCAATTAAAATGCTAAATATATATATATTGATAATACAATGCTGTTGAAACATTAATAGCTTCTAAAGGACGATTGGCTTCTAAATATTAAAAATAACTTATCATTTTTCCAGTTTAGAATACTTAGAGTGATCCATCCATTGCACCTAATAAATAATCATCATTATTGACTGCTGCACATAAATATTTAAAAGATAGAGGTGCTTAAGGATGCCCATTTAAATTGGTAATCCCTCCATGTCCAAGTTTCCAGAATTGAAGATGATTAAAACCACAAGTTACAAATTCGTTGTCATTCTTCCATTTAATATCTGTTACAAAATGCTTGCCAATTTGATCTTTGATCAATAAAGTTCCTCCTAATTATGAGGATTTAGTTGAGATATCAAATATGCATAATTAATGACAATCATCCATTCCTACAGCAGCCAGTTTATCATTAGATACACTAAAGGCTAATTATGAAACTCCTTTGGTAAAATAACCCTAAAAGGCTGCCAAGATAGCCAGACTATTGCTATCCCAAACATATATAATAGGATTTGTTCCTAATTGACTTGTGGCTACTTTGAGTCGATCAGATGATACATCCAATGCAATCACATCATCGTTATGATAATTAAATATCTTCTATGTATTATTATTGGAACTACCATTAGGATCTAACACAATAGCTAATGCTGCTGTGTTGTAGATAATTTAATTTCCTGTAACATATTTTACATTGTTTCTACAATCTTTAGATCTATAACCATGAACATATTCTAAAGTCAATTCAATTAATGGCTATTTAGTCTGATTTAAAGGATCTTTATAAAAATTAGATGGTTCCTTAACTACACCCATCCAAGGTCTAAGAGCAACAAAGTCATCTCCCTTTTCAATCTGATCAAACTATTGATCATCATTATTTTCAATATCAATGACTCTTGGTTTTCCATATTTATCAGATCCTATTCTTCTTATTTTCTCTTATGGGAGTGTTAGAGAATCAAGCATACCTTCATTTTTAATTAATTCATCTCCCTTCGACTAATCAGTTTTCCATATAAAGATACCTCTATCCATTCCACTGGTTGATATCAATTTTGTGTCATCATTAGAAAATCTAATTCTTGTAACAGCATTTGCATGTGCTCTGTATTACTTATGAAGTTAATTGGATGAACAAACTGCTGGATATTTATATAAGTTAATTAATCCATTATATTCTCCTGTTGCTAGGATTGATTTTTACTTATCAAGACAAACTGCAGTAACTTGATATTCATCCTTTTTTTGATATATTCCTTAAACATAAAATCCAAACAAGGATGTGCAAGTGTGCCATTCTAAATCCTTAACCTATGTTGCTGGTATATCCTTTAAGGATGAAACATTAACAAATTTCAATTCATAACTACCTGAATTAATCAGTATATGTATTGAATCTACAGCCCAATCCAATTTGGTCACATAACTATTCATTGAAATATTGATTGAACTCTGCCTAGAAAACTTTCCTTATTCGATATCCCAAACTTCAATATAGGAGAAGGAATCATGAACTCCAAATGCAATTTTTTTGCTGTCCGGTGAAAACTTAATGTCTTCAACCCAGTTGGTTATCTGCTGAGAATTCTATTTCAATTATCCTGCTTTAGAATTCTTTTTATCTAAAATCTCCAAATTCTTAGAATTCAATAAGAAAATACATCCTCTCACATCTCCAACTACAATATACTTATCATCAACACTCCAATCACAAGCTCTGATATCATTTTCAAATGGGTGGGATACCTTCACTAATGTATACTAATTAATATCCCATTATCTTAATAAACAATCTCCTCCACATGTTACTATGGTTTAGGAAGCCTTGCTTACTCCAATTCCCCATACTTCTCCTCCATAATGAGTATCTAGTAGCACTTTTAAATTCTGAATGTTCTTCAAGGGGGCATGTAAAATTTAGGATTATTTTGTTGCGATTAAGATATTCTCATTTTTAATGTCCATTGATATGATACCATTTACTTTTGTTAGATGGAATACTTCAGTGATATCAATCACTACAGCTATATTAATTAGATTGTTTCCATTCATTTCCCAGAGTTTGATCTGTCCATCTAATCCACTACTGTATAATTGAGTCTTGCCAACTGCAACTAATGAACTGACTTTTGACTTGTGTCCCTCATATGTTTTGAAATTCCTATTTTCTTTCCATAAAAATATGTTCCCATTTTCAGATCCTGTAATTTCATACTGCTCTTTAAATGCAATACAACAACATAACATTGGTTCAAAGTGGCTAGTACTTAATATTCCAGGTGAACTTTTCACGTTCCTGCCATCCATACAATAAAATGTAACACTCTTCTATCCACATGACATAAATTCATTTGAGGATTTACTGCATATTCCATATATTAGTGATCTAACAGTTTTGATGGTGATGATAAGTTATCCAACTTACCAATCATGAATTGCAATAGAGTATTCTTATGAAAATGATAATAAGAACACTCCATCTTAATTGAATTCAATGCAATGTATCATTTTGGTGTGAAAATCATTTAACAAAGATAAAACTTTCTTTGTTTCTGCTTCCCATACATATATAGGAGTTAATTGATTCTCAGTTAAGGCAAAGGCTTTAGTTCCATTCGCGATAATTCTGCCTTTGGGATGAATAGCAATGCAGGTGATTTCATCTTAATGCAATTTAAAGAATGTCTGTGAACAATACTATTACCCAACAGGTGCAATGGGATCCATAATAATTCCAACTGCACCACAGGTATAACCAATTTTACCATTATCCAAAAATTTCACTCCATTAAAGTATTCCTGGCCTAGTTGATCAGTCTTCATTCCTAATACATAATCGAGGATTAGAGTGGCCTATGGTAAAACATTGTATTTTTAGTCATCACCTTTAAAGTCAGTGGGTTGGGTAGATTTCAGATAAGTCTGATACTACTTTTATCCTTCTTATTAAATGCTCTCATCATTCGTAGTAATCTGACAGTATTCTTTGGGTATCTAGATATCTTGAATAGTGTCACAGGCTTAATCTTACTCCATCTAAGCATCTCGATCATAAGAGAACTTCCATTACATAATAGATTTGTCATTGCCTCCTAAAGAAACCACATACTCATCATCAGCTGAAAATCTAATGTTTGTAACATGAGCTGCATGTCCTACAAATCTTTGATATCCTTATCCAGGGATGGATGCAGGATATCTGAATAGTTTGATGCCTGAATAATCATCAGCTGAAATCACAATGTCTCCTTTATTTGATCTATCAACAGCATTGATATCTGAGCCCAATGACAATGCTGGCCATATTCCATAGACATGCCATCCATAAATTGCTGTATATGTACTCCACTTTTCATCCTTATACTTATATGCTCCATCTGGTTATATTTTCTAGTTGTTCTCTCCTCCCAATTCGTAATATAATACTTGTTAACTCCAATCATTTACTTGTAATACTCGACAAGTAGATGAAAAATCAATGCTGATTATTTTAGCTGGTGAACCACGTAACACATTTGTTTTCTTGAAATGGTTTTTAATCGAATAAATAAGTATATCACAGCTAGGTGCATCATGACCAACTGCCAATAATTCTGTGTCTGGTGAAAACTTTAAACAAGACACCTCTGCATCTCTATCTTTAAAATTGTATGCTACTGTCAGTGTCTTTGGATCAATTATCAATATTGTTCCATTGACACTCCCCACTCCCAAATACTTATAGTCCTTACTGATATGAATAGCACTGCTAGGATAATCCAGTCTTATGAAACTAGATATCTTTTTATCTTTTATTAACCAACAAGCAAGTATATTATCCTCACCTATTGTGTAAAACATAGGAAATCTAGGATGCATAACTAATCCTCTCAAAGTACCTTAAGAATGTCCTCTCATAAGAATTTTAGTTTTTGATCCTTATACCTCCACTATTTCAGAACCCCTTGTTCCAAAGATTAAATGACTTGCCTTCTCTGTATCATTCCAACCTAGGGTTACGCTTTGAACCTTGAAGTTAAAGATCTTTAATTTCAAATTTTAAACATCAATTCTCTCTCTTGCCTTCATATTAACATCCCATACAACTATAGTGCCATCCTTACTCCCAGACACTATTCCACCTTCCTGATTAGTTCTTGTGTGCATTGATAGCACAGCACCCTTGTGGGCCTCCACTGATGAAGTCGCTCTGTTGTTTTTCCAAATTATCAACTATCCTTTGTAAGTTCCAGTGATGACATTATTATCACATAAACCAACACACAAAACAGTTGAAATTGGACATATTTTAGTATCCCATACTCCTTTATTCAATCTTATCTGTCCCTAATCGTAATTGCAAAAGTACACTTCATTCTTACAAGCAATAATCAATTATTTATCTGTCTTATCAAATTTGATATCAAAAACTTAAGATCTAGGTCCCTTTCCAGATGCTTATAATGCTTATGTCGAATCTCCTTTAATCCTCAACTCCCTAGCTGTATCCACCTCATATACAACTAATGTATGATCATCGTCCATCCCGACTGCTGCTAACTTCTTCCCATCATTTGAAAATGATAAGCATTACACACCTCTTCTCAAAACTCCCTTAAATGCTGCTTTGGAGTGTTCTATCTTATCTGCCACTTCCCAAAGATATATTATAGGAAGTGCTCCCACTTAACCAGTAGCCACCATTCTATCGTGAACATCTATAGATGTGATGTCATCTGTGTGTTCAAAGAAGTATTTCTAGGTATTCGTTTAGGGATTGTAGACTATACCTACAGCAGCTGTATAATAGACTAATTCTTGATTCACCAATTTGATATTGTTTCTGCTGTCAAAACATCTAAAACCATATATATAATCTAATTCTAAGTTGGCATTGGGTGGATTGATATCTGCTGTGTTTGGTTTCCAATTAGAAGGTTGCCCATTTCTAACTTGATTTTTCCAAATTTCTTTGCTCAATGATTTATTTGTTTAATATTAATATCCAATATGCTAATTTGTAAGGTCATCCTAATAAAGATTGCTTTCAATTCCAATTTTACGCTTTTCTCTTTTTTAATCCAAGACCAAGTGTTTCCTCTGAGTCTCTTACTCCAAATCTGAGTCTGGGTATGGCACATCTCCTTATTCGGATCCTCCAAAGTCTTACCTCAAATCTTCCAAGGAGCATAATCCATATGACAATAACATTTTAAGTACATCCTGATCTTTTGACAATAAACTAAGATATTATCGTCATATTACCTTTAAAATTCATTAAGTGAAATTGATGCATCCTTGTTATTATCGTATTTTCTTAATAAATCATCAGCAATCCTTTCAGCTTCCTAAATAGTGCATTCTCCCTTCTGTGACATAGCTCCCAAGGCATTTAGAGTAGTTTTGATGAGCATAATTAACTCATTACGAGTGATAGTTTTATTGTGATCAAAATCATAGAGTGAAAATATCACGTTTGCCTTTTCCTAAGAATTGATGCGATACATTACTTTCAAGGTAGCCTAACTCAATAGACTTAGAGCACAGATAAATTCATTACTATCAATTCTACCATCATTACTAATATCAAAAAACTGAAAGACCTTATTTACTTCTGTTTCCTTCAATTTCATCAACTTAACCAATCCATTTCTATCAATAGTTAGGTCCTCGTCTGCCATCATGTCGAACTTTTCTCTAACATAATTTGAAATATTATCTACTTTATCAATTTGACTTATCCAGGAGACATGTACATAAATCTTTTCATGGATTCCAAGTCTGCATGATTTCCATTAGAAATTTCATTACCCATCAGTTATAAAATTATAATAATAATATCAATTGAGGTTCTGTAACTTCTACTAAAGTACTAATTAATATTTATTTTGGTATTATTTCTTTGCCGAATCCAAAGTTCCTTGTTTTCTTTGGCTACTAAATTATGTGGGACTCTCCTCAATGGGCAGCGTGTTGAATTGATTCCGATATCTATACTTTAATTATGCTGTTCTAGTTTGATGCAATGCTTGCTGAATATTCAGCTAAGCAGGCACCACACACTGACTAGCCTTACGAGAATTCGAGAGAGAACGACTCAACAGTTTTGGAGGGGATTTTGCTGAATTTTGTGTTGTATTCTATGTAGTATTATTCGTGGTATTTGTAGACGCTGTCATCCCGACATTACCATTACTCAGATCAGGTTTCAGTCGACTCTTAATCACTTTCACCTTCTCCTTACTCAACTTAGCTTATTGACTTAAAATATGATTCATTAGAAACTCCACCCTTTATTTTATTTCCAAAGGCTATTACGATTTAGTAGGTTTTAAAAATAGCCTACTTGGAGATCTTCCAGTATCTTCTTGGTCTTCAACTTATGTTAACAGATGTCTATAATATTATATTCAATCTAAATACTTTTTGCTTGTTTTGTTAGATGGTATTGTTTTCTATTGAGTGTTAGCATGCTTAAAAGCAGATCCTGGACCTTCAGGCACCTTAATTACTATCACTACCTTATTGGCTAATGTAGCCTTGTTATTAAATTGGTGTGGTCGCAATAACTTTGTTAGGTGTGTGATTTCTTGATCTTCAGGTATCATTTGCTTGTCAACACCATAGAGTTTCTTGTAAACCTGGTAAATTTAGTTAAAAATCTATGACATATGAGGAACATAAGTATAATAGATTTCGAGACTCTTACATAGCCATATTTCAAGATTGGATCGATTATCAAAGTTAGAGTTAATGAATCTCAATTCCGTGGAGATACTATAAAAACTTAATCCAGCCAACATTATCAATTCGAGTATGACTTCTTCTGTAACTACCATTTCTGGATTGCTAATTGGATACAGTTCTTCTATGTCCACTTGCGTCATTTACATCAAGCCTAGGATCTGCATCTGTAACATGGGATGATTATCATTAAGATTGGGATACAACTTATTATTCTGATTGGCCGTGTTTCCAATAGAGATCTATTCGCTGTACTTATCTAAGGATTGACTTCTACTATGATAACTTCTTATGATTTGAGTGTTCCTGTCTTCGAATTGGGATTGCGGCATTGAACATTTGATGAGTGCCAATATTTCCTTGAATACCATTTCGACAATCTAACTATAGGATAACTTTTAGGGTTGCTAAGATGTCAGAGTGGCTAGATTCATTTCTGAATTGGCTCTTTATTTCTTATTTATTAAATTAGTTAGATTCATCTACTAACATAATTTTATTGTAGTTTCATAGATAGCCTTCAATTATTTTAATGCACTTTTAGCCAATTCCAATGCCTGCTTGTTTCTATCGTATTAGTTTGATAGTATTACCTTCTACTTTCTGAAAATAATAAAGTGCATTAAAAGATGATACGCAATCTCATAAGTTTGTTTTATACAATTCTAGCTAACAATTGGATATCAAGAGACTGCTTTTTCAATTGTTTCCCTTTGATTTTGAGAATCTAATCACTATCCAGTAATAAATTGATGACTTCCTCTGACAAACCATACTTTCTCAAAGCCAATGCATAATTGATCTTATGAAATAAAACTGTTGTGTATTGGACTTGTATCCTATGAAATAATGGGTGCTAACGTACTGATTCTAAGTGAAGTAATCCAACAATTACTAAGCCCTTACATGGTACTCTAATTGTTCGTTCTCCGGGATTTCTGACATTGCTATTCTTGTCAACTCATTCATCACTTGATCGCCACTTTCTGGCTTCAGATAAATTGTCTCTTATGATTCTTCTTTCTAAGGTTGTTAGCCACCAATTATTACTTGAATCATGAAATTCTCCTTAGAACTAAAGTTTTCACGAATAAACACAATCTTCCTCTATAATAACTACTGCACAATAAACTAAGGTGATCTCTCAATCAGTCGCTGTTGTTTCTTGAATGCCTCAAATTTTAGCATTTTTTTTATTAATAACAAAATTGATCTCAATTCACCCAGACTGTACAATCTTTATCATTCCTCAAATAATTACCTATACCTACACGGTTCTCCTTTCTAATCAAATAATTCCATCTCTCATGATAATCTCCTTACGAATTCATCAAAAATGTACAATAGATGTTAATCAGGCGTAGAATTGATGCACTCTGAATGAGAATGGTAGATTAGAAGAACTGATGAATGGTTTAAAAGATATTGTCTTACAGATTATAACATCATTGATTATACATAAAAATACTTCAGAAAAATATAATTACTTATAGAAAGGATTCAAACAAACTACCTCCTGTGTTATTGATTTTTATTATGACAGTGTCAGTTCTTAAATATACTATTAATAATTAAACTCAATTATACAAGATTATAAGAGCCAATCGCATAGTTAAAGTAGATTAAAACATTCTTTAGTTTTATTTCTACCTCCTTTTAATAGAACTATTGTTAGGATAGTGTAATCATTAACAGAAATTACTTATCAATTAATTTGGTTTTAAAAAATAGTAAACTAAAACAAATTGTTCTGAATATTTTTTATATTAATTATGATTAATTTTGGTGATTTAGTGGGACATAAATTATTTTGTTATGATTCTGTTGTATACACTTATTCAGGGGAAGATTTGTTAATTTTAGAAAAGGAGACTATGAAATTGAATAGCAGAATCAATGTAGGCTCATTAATTTAAACAATTGCTGTTAATGGAGATATATTTGTATTGACTTGCAATTCTCAATTTCTTGTGTACTCTGTAGATGGGAAATAATTATAGAGCAAACACCATAAAGGAAAGGTATTCCAACATGTCTGTTTTCATAATGACCATTTTATTGCATATGATGGAAATAACATTGTTAGAGTAGGAACCACTTGTTCGAAAATATATGATGCGTAATCATTTACTAAAATAAATTACATTCAATATTCAGGATATAAGGAACACTTAATTATTGCAGATGATAAATAAATTCATGTTATTGGCAATGAAGACAAAATCCTTAGAGACTTCGGACTTGCAGTAACTATTATGCAATTAGATGATGATTAAGATCTCTTGGCTTGTGGATTAAGCAATGGTTAATTAATCTTATTATAATTCTCTACTGGTATCATTGTGTAATAAGACCATTGGCATGCTCATTAAATTAATGCATTGCTATTTGCAGGAGCATCACTCTATTCTGCTGGTTAGGAAGGTGTCATTGTGTAATGGCATTTGAGAGTAGCAAGAAAGGCCTTCTTTCCAAGATAAGGAGGAGAAATTGTAGCTATGTGTAGTAATGATGATAATCTCATTATTAACATAAAAGGAATCAATCAAATTAAATAGATTTCCTTGATGGGCTAGAATAAATTACCCTATTTTCAGGGAATTCATCATGTTTACCCTAATAGTTTTATCACTTATTAGAATAAATTAATCACCTAAGGAGCAAATGGAACCTTATAAGTTATTCATCCAACATAAGGTACTTTATTGCACATCATTCCTATTTAACAAAGAAATTATGTATCTGATATTGATATTGAAGATTCATACAAAAGAGATAGAACCACAATTAATTAAGTAATTTTTATCATATACATTATAGTTTGCTATGTTGGATAGATTTTTGATTGTCATTTTGAGTTCTGAACTAAAATAAACGCTATCAATATTTGAAAATGTTAATAATTTTGAATTTAATCTTTTAACAACCACTGATTATGATATTGAAGGAATGGATACAGGACATAATTCAATAATCACTTGGGGTAATGGAGAAATTAGAATATGGAGATAAATCAAGTAAACAAAAGGATAATTCAATTGGAATTGTGTTTTCAGAGGTCATGGATACAAAGGAAGAAATATATTAACAGCATATATAAAAGATGAAACCACTATTGTCATTGTTACTTCTATTAGTATATTGCATATCAATACAAAAAATAATAACATTATTAAAGAGGTGACTTTGGATTAAACAACTCCTGAGGTTGCTCACATTTACTAATCTGGTGTTTTAGTTTGTAATGGCGGAACAATTACATTCTATTAGGATACTAAAAAATAGATTATCACCTAATTTGGTAAAGCTAAATCCATCAGTAAAATAAATGACAATTTAATTGCTATTTAATATGAAAATGAATAGGCATTGATTGTAGATATTAAATAATCTAAAATTTTGCATGGAATTGCTTCTCAGAAATTAATCTCAGCAACTTTAAATGGCAGGTGTACTATATTCATCTAATATTGTTAGGACTTTATTGTACTCTTACATAAGCCAGAATAATTAATATAAATATGTAACAGTTCTAAGCACAGAGAGAAAGGCTTCCCTAATGATGGATGAGTAAGAGACAGCTCATTTTGAATAAGTTGAGTAACCTGAAAAACCAATCATTGAAGATGCAGCACCACTTGATCCAAATGTTTATAGACGTTTGCAATTAGCTAAATAAGCTAGATAAATGTAATATTATTGATTATTTTAAGAAAGGAACTCAACATTAAAGAATTTTTAATCCCACAGTCACAAATGTTGCCTTCACTAACATTCTTGGCTGATCGAGTTGTAGATGTTTTGAAATAAGATTTGAGTGAATAATAAAAGCATCAATCGTATGGAATTGATCTAAATCAATAAGAAAAAGAGAGTAATCAATAATAGACTTCAATCTAATTACATTAATTAAAGAAATTGTTTAAATGAAAAATTTATGTTAATATATTAATCCTATTATGATCAAATCAATAAGGAAGATCACTTTCAATTATTTATATTCTATTTTTTTTATACCTAATAGGATATATTTTTATATCTTCCAATTAAAATAGTTGTTAATTGTATAATGAATAAATGAACTTAGATTGTATATTATTAGATGTATTTTAATGAATTGCAATTCATAAATAATAATATTTGTTTAACAAATTACTTTAGTTCATTTTTATATTGTAATCTCAAGTTCTAAGACCTCATCATTATCAACCACTACAAAATTACTCTTTAGGCTGTCCCTATATGTCACTTATATCTATTGTAAGTAATTTTTTGCCAAATAGTTTTCTAAAACCTTTTCATATATCTGAGGATTCAATTCTAATTACATATTTTCGATTCCATTAGACTATATATTCAATTTATATGGAATAGACTGTCCTGGATATAGGATACTGCCCTATTGTATGTAATCAAAATCTTAAGATAGCTTAACTTGTTATTCTGTCACTGTGAATCCGTTGTGATGTTCCTAATTTCTAATTGCAGCATTTAAACTGAAATTCATAAATTTATGCTGATTCAAATCTACCTTCATCTAAGCAAAATTTGCCTTAATCTAGAAATATTTGATATATTAATACTTTTTGTGGAATCTTTAAAAATTAAGAATTTCTAGGCAAAGTCTGATTATTGTAATAGCCAAGAATCTCTTCTAGATTTTCAATTTCGAATTAATCTCCTAATGTTAGGCATACTTATTATTCCTTATTGAATGAAGTGTATATTTTAGCATTCTTGAAGTGATATTACACTGTGTTCAAAAGATTCTAGAAATGTCTCCTTTAATATTTGATTAATTGTGATACTTTAATCCATATGCAATTCCAATGAGATACCAATTATCATCATTTATCTCATATACTACATCACTTTAACATAACTAGCACAAATTATTGGTGTAATTATTTAAATCACATTCTTTAATCTCTTATTTAATGGCTTCAAAGAGATCTTAAGATTATAAGGAAATCTTATTTTATTATTATTCTAGTTATTATAAAACTTATACTTTCAGTCAATTAAAAGAAATTTAAGTCAGCATTCTTAATATGCTTAGAGTTGCTCCTTAGTTGCTTTTATCCTTGCCTTTATTCCTTTTCCACTCGTGAAAGAATTTACTAGAATGAAAATTCTGTATCGATTTATTGATTTAAGAGTTGTATTTGTGATTGTTACTTTTATAAGTGACTAAAGTTATCTCCTTTAATAGGTTTACTTTCCAAAATAACCTAATTATTCTATTTAGTGGCCATCTTATATTTTTGTTTGTTCAATAATTATTAATTTTGTAATTCAATCAACTGCTATTATTATTTTAAAATTTCTTATTGTTATTTTTATTGTATTAATTATTACTGATATTACTCTTCTTCTAATTTTCTTTGTTTCTCTTCTCTTGCTTTTAACTTCTTTCTCTTTTTCTCTTTTTCCATTTGTTCTTGTTATTTCTTCTAAGCCATAAAGATCTCAAACTGTTCTTCATTGTAATCCATCTCAGTTTCCTCAAGTTGCAAAAAACTACTTTATTATCTCTTATGATGAATTAAAGTATTCTTTGAAATTGATTAATCTTACTTTGTTTCTAAATCAATATATTCAATTTTGATAGTGTCATCAACCTTCATATCTTATTGTAATAAGGAAAAAGAATGAATTTTGTTGACTGAAAGCAAATTTGATGTGTCTTCAACATCCTATTATGTCACTCTCTCAATGATAGGTTACTATTAAGTATTTATTTGATCTACAGCTTATGATTCCTTATTTTGTGTATCAACATTTGAGGATGAATTGTAAACATCAAATTACACGACATCATTGTCTTCATTATCAGCTTCTTATTCATATTGATAACTGTTAGATTGACTTTCATCGATAGGGATTAAGTTTGGAGTATCACTTTCTATAATTAATGTCTCCTATTATGAATATACTTAATTTTATGTTCCCTCAATGCTCTCATTAGAAGATTCTACTTCAATTGAATCCTAGGATGACTCATTAGAAATTTAGTTTTCTTCATTAGCTTGCTCAACTTGATTATCTAAAGAAAGTAACTACTCTTGTTCTTTTGCTGTAGGGTCTTCTACAAATTAATCTTGGCTGATATATTATTCTTCATTTGATTAATTTTCAGTGATTGGTAATTCTGTGATATTATTTTGATCGCTTTATCCATCTTAATCTTAATTATTTAAGACTTAGTTATTGGAGATATCATCAAATTTAACCTCTTAACTTATTTAGATTTAAGGTTCATATTAAATACCTTCAGTTTACTATTCATTAATCTAAAGTGTTGGGACTGATTATTCAATCACTTAATCTTCTTAGTCATTTACAATTTAAGAAGTATAATCGCTATTATGAAACAATTCACTGCTTTGTGCATACGTAGATGGATCATCTTCTGCTTTTTTTTCTTCATTTCTATGTTATTACCTTTCATATTCATCAATGCTAAAACCATTTTCTAAGGTCTCATCTTAAGATTTAATGAGATCTTCATCTGATTTAATTTCTTTAGAATCAATTTTATCTTATAAAATGACTGGCTATTCCTCCACAGCTTATTAGGAATTATTATCTGTCTAGTCATTTGGAGCTTCTTATAATGTTTCTTGCTAAGGTTATAATTCCTAGATATCATCTTTTTTGATATCTTTCTCTTAGGTTTATAATTATCCATCCTTTTCTGAATCAAAATCTTACAATTCACTTTGCTCTAATTCAATTTATTTTTCAACTTATTGTATTTATTCTTCTTCTTTCTATTTATCATCAATCAAATGTTACTATTCTTCTTATAATTCATTTAATTTCATTTCATCCTCTAACTTTTTTTATTCTAATTCCTATTTAATTCTTTCTTCTTCTTAAATAATCTCTTCTACTTCTCTTTTTTTCCTAAGCTTTTCTGCTTCTTACACTTCTTCAAGATAATTCGAAGTTTCTACATTATTCTCCATCACAAAACCTTATGACAATGTATTTTCTACTTGATCATCATTAAGAATTTCTTTTTTTTCTACTTCATTCTATGTATTTTAAGTTTATTGATCTACAATTAATTTTTCATCTTAATTTTCCTCATCTAATGATTATTATTATTATTCATTCTGAGTTTCATCCTCTAATTCTTATTATTCATCATAAGGTTATTCTAGTTCGAATTACTGTTATTATTAATTATCCTAAAGTATATCCTAATTGATTTAATTCTCATTTTATTCTTAATTATCAACCGTTTAAGTTAATTATGAATCTTGCTCTTATTGATTATTATTATTTACTTCTTATTCCAAGTTCTCAACTGATGGATTAATTTAATCATCATTCTATATTTCCTATTAGTTTTGATCCTCTTCTTGAACTATATTATCTGATGAATCTGAATTAAAACTTAAGGATTCATTATTAATCTAAGTTTTCGAATCAATTTGCTACTCAGATTCTTATTAGACATCTTATTATTCTTATTATTCTTATTATTATACATCTTCTTATTACAATTTTTACTCTTATTATTATTATTACTCTTCTTCTTTTTATTCTGATTATTACTATTATTAAATATTTTCATCATTAATATAATTATTATCGTCAGATGTGATATACTCTTGATGAGATTCATCATGTTCTTGGTCTATTTCTTCTAAATTAGATTCACCTTGAGATTGTGAAGGATCCTGATCAAAATGTGATGATTCTTTTTCTTCTACAACATTTTTATTTTCTTACCCATCTATCTAGTCTTCAATCTCTACGTATTTGCTTTCTAATTCTACTTCTTGTGTTAACCCTAATAATGCATCCTATTTCTCTTCTACTGATTTCTCCACTTATTACTAAACTTCTTTTTCTTTTTTCTCCTCTGCCTTCTTATTTAAGAGTTTTCTCAAGGGATTCTCATGTACTGGTTTTATGTTTTACTCTTATACGATTTCTTCTTTTGGTTATTATGACTCTTATGTTTCCTTTGATTATTTCTATTTCTTGAATTCTTCAATCTTTTTCATTAATGTTGTTTTACCAACATTTTAATCTGATGGATTAGTCACTTATTCTTGGGTATTTACTTCTTATTTAATTTAAATTGCAGCTACAACTGGTGGTTATTGGGCCTATTTTTTTTTCATTTCCAATTTCTCTCTCAAAGTCATTTTCTTTTCAATAGGTTGATTATTTTCTATTTTAGTTTCTACGTTAACTTCTAGTTTAGGTTCTTCTTCTTTGATAAAATATTTCTTAAACTTCCCCAACTTTTCAGGATCAGTTTGAAGTTCCGTTTCTACAATACTTTCAGTTTATGGTTCAAGTCCATCACTCAATTCTTATAAGTAGGATTGAATTTCAATCTCCTTATGTTCTGGTTCTACGATATTAATCTCCTCCTCATCTTCAACTATCTCATGTTTGCCAGATCGTACACTTTTATAAAATTCTCTAAAGGAAACCTCGTTCTTAGTATCCTCTTCATCAATCTACAAGTAAGGCTTCTATTATTTTAATTATTCGGTGACTTTCTTATATATTAGGTCTTCAGATCCTAAATCAGATTCCTCTTTGAATTTTGGTTGCATCTGATTTAGCAAGCTCAGTGCTTCTGAACTAATAATAGTTTTTAAGCTTACCCTGCATAATTTATGTAGATTAGCATACATAATAGTAGGCTTGTCCTAAGAGTATGCATTATACGTTTTATAATTATATAATATATTGATAATATAAACAATAAAAACTATAGTTCAATTGCTCTACTAATTAAATTTGATTGAAACGCTTAAATTCTTCTTAGGTGTAGCATTATAGAAAAAAATAAGATAAAATATCCAAAATACTAATTATCGCCAAAATCATAACTTAAAATTTATCCTACTCAATACCTAGAAACTACAATTTTATAATCTGAATTATTAATTAATCATTCGTAGCACAATAGTAATCTCTGTAATAAACGCTTGATAATCAAAGTTTATTAGTTAAATGAGTGAGTATAATATATATAATGATTATGATCTCCAAAAGTAGAATTCATTTTTTAAAGTTACTTTTTGACTTGGAAAACTATCCTAAAATGTAAAATTTTGAGATTATTAGTATGTATCAATAAAAACTAAATTAAATACAAAATAGGTAGATATTTTGGATAAATTTATAAGTGATCTACATGTTTCTATATATTTCAAACAAAGCATCCAATATTGTACTAAAGAATGTTTAGACATTCAAATCTATTAAAATTTGTTATCGACTATGCAGAACTTTAGCTACCAAATATTTCATAATGATGAACAGTAACCCACTTATTATTTATTTTATAAAGATTATTCATTAATTAACATAATAAAATTAATAGTACACATAGAAATAAATTAGATCTGCATCCAAAAATGACCTTACACTGAGATTAATAATAAAGTGGATTTTACAAGGTTTGAACAAGGAATTATTAAATTTAATGTACAATAACAATAAAGCAATTTATAAATATTGTGATATATTTTATAGTGTTCTATTAAATTAATAAAGGTTATGTGTAAAAATTATAACAAGAAAAGAACACATACATATATATTAAATCATTATAACGCTTTTTTTGATCTGAAAAATACTACATTATACTCAGAATTATCATCATCAATATTTTCATTATCTCTTTTTAACGAGATTAATTGAGGATTTTGTTATTTTGCATATGAGATTACTTAATACTTGCTTTTGATTCCAAAATTTTTATTATGGCAGACGTTTTATTGTATTAGATCGACAAAATCAGTTTGGCTACTTTACAGATAGATAATCTTTTCTTTAGTTGGGAGATCAGTCAGTAATTCATTTTATTAATTTTAATGAATTTTTTCTTGTTTCATTTTTTTATGTAGATGCCAAGGGGAAACAAAGAATTTAGTATTCAATATTATATCTCTTTAACTTTGATTCTTATTTTAAGATTAATTTTATTTATAAGATTACTAATGCAATGGTTCTAATGGGTTTGATGATTATTTTGGAATAGCAGATTAAAAAAGAGCATTTTTTTAGACATTAAGAGTAGATCTTCTATTTTAGAAGTTTAGGAAATGCCTGTAAGTTTAACGATCAATTTTGGAGTTGGCATCAACATCACTAGGAATTGTTTTTTCTTTTTATTAGGATCTATTAGATAACGAATGGTTTTGTATTTTTCTATTGGTTGATGGAAGTGTTTCCATTCTATATTTGATTGTTTTCAAATCAAACAATTTTTAATATTCATTTTTAGATCGATATTGCATTTTGTTTTATTTACTTATTATTTAATTTTAATATACTTAATCATATCAAAAATTAATATAAATGATACCAAAAATAGACTAGTTCATATTTTCCACCCCTTAAAAAATAGATATTCAAAGTGTATTAATTAATTATAGTAATTATTCTTTCCATTGTTTCTTCTCTTCTTCTGTAACCTTAGCCAAGGAGAGTTCGAAGTATTCGAATTACTATTGAATTTGAACTTCATTCTCAAATTGGCTAGTGTCCAAATCTTCATGAAAGATTTAAGAATATTATCCATATTATGAGTGCAAGTTATCAGAAGATATGGATTATTCTTCTAGTTCTTTATTTTATTCATTTTAATCCACAAATGTTCTATGGATCTGAATCGATAAACAATAAACATTATTACCTCAAACATGAATTGATCGTTGATTGCTGCAAACTAATTAACATTCTCTTCGAATTCCTGAATAAGTTTCGATAGTTCATGTGATGTTGTTGAATCACTTTGTTTAAAAAGGGACTAAACTTTTTTAATGCTTTAATGAAGGATTTGTGCTTAGGAAATAAACTGAATATAATATAATACATACTATTTCATAGGGATCTGCGTGGGGTGAACCTAATGAGGAGTTCATATAGCCATAATTAGAGGATACATTAGTATATTTGTTACCCAAAGAGTCTTTATCTATTAATAATAATTTTAAAATATTATTGTACTGGAATTGCTATCTTTGAGTTTTATAACAGGGGCAATATCAGCAGCATTTTGTGGTTCATTGGAATTCGTTTAATGGACTTGTGTAAAACCTTGTCTTTGAGACAGTTAGAGTTCTATGTGCAAATTGGATTTAGATACTTAAGATGTTTTCATCTTTTTAAGATCGTCTAAGTGTTTCAATGGTTTATTCCAATAAGCCTTTGTATTATTACGCTTCGCTTTCGAGTGACTTATTACTTGATAAGAGTTTCTAGAATCAGAATCGAGCATACTTGATGTTGCATTTTCAAGTTGTTTATCAACTGAGGGTTCTAATATTGATCATATTGATTGTCGATGGTGTTAGTAGAATGTATAATCTCAACATCGTCATCTTCTAACATGTTGGTACTAATTTAAAATAATACACTAATAAATTTTATAAAGAAATATAAATATGTTATAACATCATACTATTTTATTTTACATAAAAATAGTCTAAATGAGGGCAAGATTTCGAATTAAAAAAATATAAAAGATTTATTAATTTATTAAATTAATCAATATTATCTCCAAAATGAATAACACATTAAGTGATAATCTGATTTTTTTGCCCAAAGATTTTCAAGGAACTGAAAATGGAGAGGGACAATTAAGTGATTAGCAAAAAATGAAGTAATCCTAACTAAATATATCGCAGATTGGGGAACTTGGGCATGATGACACCAATGAGTAACACTTTGACATATGATTTTGAACAAATGACTTTAGACACTTCACCAAAGGAGAGTGAAGTCAATCATAAATATGATGCAAATATTGACACCATAAATGAATAAGAAGAACATAAATGCAAACTATAAGTAGATTTACTCCTATATATAAAACAGAAATATCAAAGTTTCAAGATCACTAAAGAGTAGATTAGGAAATCACCAAAGCACAAGACTTGCTAACCATAACAGACAGTGCCATAATTGGAACTAGGAGAATAAAATTTAGACACTCAAATAGATTAGCAATCCCCAGTCACATCTTCAATGAATGCCCAGACATTGAAATTTATCAAGGAACTCTGGAATTCAGATAAGAGTGAAACTGAATACTTCAAAGAGATGGTGGATCCTAAATTACCATATCTAAATCAACCCATCTATTCTCCAGTGATGGATGGCCATAGTCCCATATATGAACCTGACATTGAGATGGATTTGTACATCACAAATCTGGTGGTGAGATTTTAAATTCTATCTTAGGATTAAGTATGGGGCAATCAGATAGTCAGTAGGAAATTGCAGAAAATGATAGAGTCAGGATCACATTAATAAAAGGAATTGATTGTGTAGAAATTGGAAAGAGTAACACCTTAAGTGGAAAAGGACATATTCGGCAATTATGTTGTTTAAAAGATCTTCGAATGCAGTATATACATCATAGTATTCATTCAATAGCCAATAATAAATTGCAATAGAGGATGTTCAATAAATTAAAGCCTCACTTTTATGATTTATCCAAAAACACTTTCGGCTGCAGAGTGATGTAGAAATTGATTGAGTATACCTACCAACGAAATGATCTACAAATCATAGTCTTGTAACAATTACAATCTAATATGCGATCCTTGATATATGATTTGAATGGGAACTATGTGATTTTCAAAATGCTCGAAACCTTTGATAAATTAAAGATGGAATTCATGATCCCCATTGTTGAAGAATCAGTATCTCTTATACATCATATCCATAGTTCAATTACATGGGATAACAAATCTATGGTTGCAAAATCATTCACAAAATTATTTAACAATATTCTCAACAACAAATCGCTAAAATCATTAGATTGTCAGTCTAAAATTACAATATCCTAAGTTAGACAGAGTATGGAAACTATGTACTATAACATATTCTCTAATACTGGATCCCAAGTCAAGAAAAAGCCTATCTGGTTCAATTAGTCTTGCAATAGTTCTTCTAACTTAGCATCAATAAATATGCAAGGTATTCTACTTACTATCTAAATTGCTAGTAACACTGTTGAAAGAGCATTGGAGGCATTGGGCAAGCAGGAATTAATTTCTATCACAAAATGGCTACTCTGCAAAAGTCCTAATCAATAGTACATCATATATATAATATTCCAATAGCGCAAGTAACTTCGTTGTATTAGCTAATCATCAATATGCCAATTACGTAATTAAGAAATTTTTAGTGATAAGCGATCACAATGTATTAAAATATATTTCAGATCATTTGTAGTAGAATCTGTATGAATAAACAGCAATCAAATCCACTATTCACGGTAACTTCCATCCTTTAAATTTAGGTCAAAGAATAAATAGCTTCTTAGATAAGTAAATTTAGCATTGGCCTTGATTGCCAAATATAGTCAATTTCAATGAATAAATATAAAGAAGATATTATTATTATTTTCAATTTCAGATAACTCCTCTTTAGATAATTGAAAAACAAAATACTTTTTGTTTAAAATAGTATTACATTTTTATCCTGTCCAAATAGTTTTTATCTATAAAGCATTTAATAACCATTATTAACAATGTCTAAATGTTTAAATTATAAAAGTTTTTAGAAAGTAGTAAATAAAAATAGATGCCTACTTTTTATGGAATCAATTCTACTATCGATTTATCTTGATTAAAATTTTGTAATAAGCATATTTCCAATTATGAATTACACAATCCCGTGATAGAATAATTATATTACTATTAATAAGACCGGCTAAATCTCATTTATTAACATGAAATAAAGAGATAGTTCCTTCTCCAGTCTTATATCATAGTCATCTTCTTTTTGATTCTCCTATACTCTATATATCTATTTCTTAAATTCTAGTTAAATATTGAGAGTCATAATTAATCAAAATTCATATTTGTCTTATTTTTGATATTAACAGAAAAAGATCAGAACCCATTAATATTCAAACAACATATTTTATTTAAATGCAGAGATAAACATTTATCAGCTGCTATAAATATTCTTAAAAGTCTTTAATGAGATACATGATAAAATATCAATCTATCATTTATTCTAGAATATAGTTGAAATCAATACATCATGTTTTAGAATTAACCACATTTGGATATAAATTANAGAATCAGTATCTCTTATACATCATATCCATAGTTCAATTACATGGGATAACAAATCTATGGTTGCAAAATCATTCACAAAATTATTTAACAATATTCTCAACAACAAATCGCTAAAATCATTAGATTGTCAGTCTAAAATTACAATATCCTAAGTTAGACAGAGTATGGAAACTATGTACTATAACATATTCTCTAATACTGGATCCCAAGTCAAGAAAAAGCCTATCTGGTTCAATTAGTCTTGCAATAGTTCTTCTAACTTAGCATCAATAAATATGCAAGGTATTCTACTTACTATCTAAATTGCTAGTAACACTGTTGAAAGAGCATTGGAGGCATTGGGCAAGCAGGAATTAATTTCTATCACAAAATGGCTACTCTGCAAAAGTCCTAATCAATAGTACATCATATATATAATATTCCAATAGCGCAAGTAACTTCGTTGTATTAGCTAATCATCAATATGCCAATTACGTAATTAAGAAATTTTTAGTGATAAGCGATCACAATGTATTAAAATATATTTCAGATCATTTGTAGTAGAATCTGTATGAATAAACAGCAATCAAATCCACTATTCACGGTAACTTCCATCCTTTAAATTTAGGTCAAAGAATAAATAGCTTCTTAGATAAGTAAATTTAGCATTGGCCTTGATTGCCAAATATAGTCAATTTCAATGAATAAATATAAAGAAGATATTATTATTATTTTCAATTTCAGATAACTCCTCTTTAGATAATTGAAAAACAAAATACTTTTTGTTTAAAATAGTATTACATTTTTATCCTGTCCAAATAGTTTTTATCTATAAAGCATTTAATAACCATTATTAACAATGTCTAAATGTTTAAATTATAAAAGTTTTTAGAAAGTAGTAAATAAAAATAGATGCCTACTTTTTATGGAATCAATTCTACTATCGATTTATCTTGATTAAAATTTTGTAATAAGCATATTTCCAATTATGAATTACACAATCCCGTGATAGAATAATTATATTACTATTAATAAGACCGGCTAAATCTCATTTATTAACATGAAATAAAGAGATAGTTCCTTCTCCAGTCTTATATCATAGTCATCTTCTTTTTGATTCTCCTATACTCTATATATCTATTTCTTAAATTCTAGTTAAATATTGAGAGTCATAATTAATCAAAATTCATATTTGTCTTATTTTTGATATTAACAGAAAAAGATCAGAACCCATTAATATTCAAACAACATATTTTATTTAAATGCAGAGATAAACATTTATCAGCTGCTATAAATATTCTTAAAAGTCTTTAATGAGATACATGATAAAATATCAATCTATCATTTATTCTAGAATATAGTTGAAATCAATACATCATGTTTTAGAATTAACCACATTTGGATATAAATTATAGATATTAATTTAGTATCAGCTATGCTAAATGATTGATTGGATGTAAATTTAATTCTGTCTATTGTTATTATTGAAAGTTGTAATTGATAAAATGATATTATCTGAATTTAGTGTGATTTGGGAATATAATTTTATGTATAAATAAAATGATTATCTATAAGGATGGGATATTGAGTAATCTGTGGATTCTGAGGAAGGCGAAAAAAAATAAGGCACTCAGGTTTCCAACATTACCAAAACTCAGCCATCAGATAGGCTAAGCTTTAAAAAGTTATTCTTAAAGAGTCCTTAACTTTCACCCATAAGGGTCAATCCTCCAAACCATTAAACAACTCCACTGAGGGAATCAATAAAAGAAAAGTTTGTGTTTGTTAATCAATTAATGAATAAGAAGAGTGATATGAACAAAGGATGTGATTATGATATTGAACAATCTCATCATGCATTTAATATAAAATTGCAATAACCAATCAACATAGCAAATTTAAGAATAAAATTGAATGCCATTCCAAAATAACCATAACATACGAAAGCATACACGCAGAACCAATTGTAAGCGATGATGCAGTTGAAACGTAGAAACCTGTATTTGAGATCGGTACTCAAAAAAGTATGTGTGTGTTGAATATTAAGGTTTGTCATGAGGGTGATGAACGATACTCTAATCATCAAAAAGCTCAGCAACAGGAAATATTTCTGGGTTATCGATACATGGATGAAGATCTGCAGAAATTGTAGAGTCCAAGCAATAGCATGAATCTCTAGTAAGTGTATGTATATTGTATCTAGATAGCAATCCCGTAAGAATAGCAACAGGAGACCTGTAAAGGTGAAGCAATAATTGTGAGCTTAATTAACTTTATTTTATATATTTTTTGATTAAAGATATTAAATAAATTATTTATTTGAAATGGTAAAGAAAGAGAAGGGAAAGCCCAACCCTTTGGGTGAAGTTAGCAGAGATTACACCATCAATCTTCACAAAGGTGTTCACAAGGAAACATTCAAGAGAAAGGCCCCAAGAGCTGTCTCATATATTGTTAATTTCGGTATTAAAATGAAATTAATTGTCAGCAAGAAAGAATATGCTCACAGAGGATGTCAGAATCGACCCATCTTTGAATGAGGCTGTTTGGGCTAGAGGAATCAGAAATCTCCCCAGAAGAATCAGAGTCAGATTACAAAGAAAGAAGAAGGAGGAAGATGATGGAAAAGGCAAATATTATACACTTGCTCAACATGTTCCTGTTGATTCATTCGATGGCTTAAAAACAGAAATCACCAAGTCATAATGATCACATTACAATATATTAATATTAAAATATAATAATCAGTTAATGCTAAATAAAAGTTCAAACTCATCTACTATTTGTCAGCTATGCAAAATGACTGCTTAAAATCCAATCCAGTTGATATGTTCACATTCCATGTGCATGAAATGCGGAGTCAATATACAAATCTAAGAAAATACAAGGTATCTCATTTCAATCTATACAATAGTCAAATCTAGAATAAATTTAGAATCCAATGTCCAAAATGTCGTAAATTGACACACACTTATGATATCAAGAATTTGTTGATAGAAAATAATGAATTATATCTAATCACCGATTCAAGTGAAATGGAAAAAGAAGTACTTAACGAAGTAAGTGTCATATTCAATCTAGAGCCAATTCTCACTCTAAAAGAATTAATAAGATGCTATCTTGGGAAGAAGATAATCCAATGCCTATTAAATTTAAGAATTATCTCAACCAAACAATAAGAATGTCTAAAAGATAAGCGAAATGTTTACTGTACAGGCCACTCACAATAACCCACAGAATGCCTTTAATCATTCCTAGTTTAATAAAAAGAAACCAAATTTAGGAAGCGAGAGAATATCTCCCAGTAAACAATAATCAAAACCAACCTAATCAAATCATTAAAAAAAGCAATCCTATCAAGTGCCCCAATAAGAAGTTACAATTGAATGTATTAAATATAATATTTTAAGGCAAGGCTAAAACATAAGCCAATACATCAAACATTTAATAAAACAAAATTAATGATTTCTTTAAACCCAATTCTAACACTCCTGTTGCAACTCCTACAACTATTGCATCATAATTATTGTTTCAACAAACTGACAATAAAAAACCGATCTAACAATAGTAATAAACCATCTATTAATAATAATAACAACAACAATAATACTAACAGTAATTGCAATAGCAAAGTAAAACTGATAAGGTATTTGACACTAAACAATATTATCCTGAAGAAAAGAAACTATCAACACCAAAATATAGCGAAATGATAAAAGAAAAAGAGAATCAACTTTTAAAAGAAATTTCAAAAGATAGTTCAAATACATCCAAAGAAATATCAGATAACTCTAGACATAAAAGAAGTTCTACAGGTCTTATCTAAGAAACAGAAGAGCAAGCTTCTGTATAAATTATTCAGTCGTACTTTAAAATGGTTCAGAAGAATGTTTTGAAGCTAGAAAAGGATGTGATTGCAGCAGTTAACAATAAATAAGTAGATCCGCAATGTATCTATCAAAAACTCAAAATGTTAACAGCAAGGGTTGGCGATAATGAAGGTGAACTCATTTAATCCATTAAAGTAATGCAGAAGTTACATTCAGAAATTATGGGACTTTCTACTCCTTCCTAACATAGAAAAACTAGTTCTCATCAAAATACAAGTCATAGATATACTAATACAAGTAATTATGTGAAAAATATTGAAAAAAGTGATTAAAGTATTGGAGCCATGCCTTAAGAATTAAAAATATATAAAAAGTTTTTATGATTTCTATTTATATATACATTAAATTATCAAGCGTCTAATTTAAAATGTTTTAATTCACATGGATCATTAATTTCTATAGCAGCTTTCTGTGATTGTTTGATAAATTCTTTAACTGCTTTCTCATTCCTTCCTTGTTTAAACAGACTCTAAATTTAGTATGCTTATATATACTTTAAGGTACAAATCTATTTAAGCTTTGCGTTTAAGTATGAACTACTAATCTAAGTTCCCAAAAAGTCTTTTCTCGGGAAACTTTTCCAATCGTTAAACCGTCTATTTATTGAGTTTGGAATTCAAATCCTCTAACAAACTATACCTTGTTTAGAATATCCAATAGAGTGAACCATAAATCACTTTTATTTGGTATATCGTAAATTGCTTTTCTATGGTTTTGTAATTTATAACCTCAACTTAAAATTCACAATTCTAAATATAAATACAAAAATTTACTTATTGATCATATTGTTTACTATTTAAGTGTTTTTTTACTCTTTATTTGTTTTATCTGTTTAGGAAGGCCATTATAGGGAAATCACATTTGTTTTCATTCACTTAATAATAGTTTGATATGTTCTAGTCTTGGAGAGTTTAGTTAGCCATTTTTGATGGTTTATTTAAGGAGAGTCTTGAAAAAGTTAGACAGATCTAAACTTTTATTTATATTAATGAAATTTAGGTAAATTCTTTTCTTTAAAATGCATTAATTGGTAAAAATACGATTATATTGATAAATTTATTAATTGATAATTTATGTCTGCATTAAAATAATATTAATAAAATCAGTATTTGTTATGATATTAATTATGTTTAGTTATATCCTAAATCCATTCATTTACGTTAAAGATTTTCTCATATCTCATAGATTTGTTCTATTTAAAATTAGGTCATATGCTATACTTTTTTTTATAATAATATTAGTTAACTACAATAAACTGATATATAATATAATATATTAGACGAGATTTATTACAACATCCATTTGACTTATAAGTACAATTTATTGCATTATAAAATTTTGATTTTTGTTCAGTCATTAAAATAAGATGCCATATGACCTATATTTCAAAATTAGAACATTATAATTAAATTGGATCTAAAAGTGAATTTTTAACATCCTTATTTGTTTTCTTATAAATAATATGATTATTTGGCTAACTTCTTAATTTTAAATGAGGAACCCTAGTTAAAACTTGCTTGTAATATTTCATTCTATTTAAATCTCAAATTCTTAATATGTTGTTATTTTACTAGAAGGCCTTTTGGATTTAATCTTGTCTGAATTTAGTCTCCAAATAGTTTAGAAATGTTTCAATTATGATCATCTCAAAATATTAGGCTTTAAAGAAATTGAAGCTTGCTTACTATTATTACATGATAAAATAATTATTATTATGATCTAAGAAGAAATAATTTAATTATTTTGTTGATGCTTCGTTGGAGAAATAATAATTATTGATATAAAATCTATTAAATCAATGTTTAGTAGTGTATATGAGTGGTAAATATATATTGGTTATTTAATTGAATTTTATTGTTATAAACTTGATTGAAATTATTGTGCTAAAAATTAAATGTTGCACTTAAGAAAACTGCCTACGATATATAAGAATGATATGGAAAACTATTAGATAAGACGTTTTGAAAAAGCTACCCGTTTTAGAATGATAAACCAGAGTGTAACGAGTAAAAAGAAAATGAATCGCATTCTACCTTAATTGCTAATGAGTGCTTAAAAAAAATTTTTCATTGAACTCACCTAATTAAATGAAAGGAAAGGAAAATATTTAATGTAAAAGAATGATGTTTAAGTAGATTCAAATACAACAAACGAGGAAAGAGTTCATAGTCGAGTAGAGAAGGAACTTTGAATGCTTCAGCATAACTGGTGATGGTTTCATTGCCTTACTTTTGTACGAATCATAATAGAAGAAGATTTATAATGAAGAAATGGAAATAGATAATATGGGCTGTACGAATAGTAATAAGATACAAAAATATATTGAACAACCTTCAATTCTTTGAACTACTTAACAGGTTACCAAGAAGACGGAAAGTATCCTCACCCACATCAGTTTATCGTAGTCCTAAAAAGAGGCGTTTAGGAGGAGCTCAATCAGTTGATAATAATTTTACTCTTGCTACAAAAGGATATGGTGATGAAACTAACTCCAGCAAAACCTCCAGGAAATTGAAGAACTAATTATCAGATAATTACTTGAAATCTACCTACTACCAAGATTTCAAATAAAAAGATCAAAGATTAGCCAGGCTAAGAACTAATAGTTTAAACTAATTGCAGAATTCTCAATAAAGTTAACTAATGCAAACTTCAAGGACCTAATCAGTGTTGATAAGAAAGTTTAGAGTGAAAAAATTATGATTAAACTGTTATAATATACACAAGATCATTCAATTGGTGGCCATTTTGACTTTATCAGCTAATGATAAGCTTCCTATACAAAGTCAAGACATTCTTAAAGAAGAAATCTAAATTGTTTAAACTTAAAAATACTGTTTATCTTTCGACCATTTCTTAATAAGTTCATTCTTGGTTGTTATCTCATTGAACATGAGTGCCTTTATTATCTTTTATGAATATGGTTGCATATTTGATTCTCTTATTTCTGATACCTTATATTTATAATATTTTTAGAGTATCTAATAAAACTACAATATCTCCCCAGAATAGAGAGCTCTTGCAAATTTTGAATAAAATCCCAATTAATCTTTAGGGAATGGTATCTATTAATTAATATTAATAATAATAATTACTTCTATCTCCTCTAGAACCCATGAATTTTCTATTACAGCACTTCCTTTACACATCATTCTATCATTCTTTGAATCATAATACTCACTATTTTCATAGATTGTAAGCTTCTTTAATTAACTAGATCGAGTGTCCAAATCATATAAGAGAGACTTATTTGGTACCTCAGTTAGATTTACCATATAAACTTTAGGAGTGGTGATTTATGAATGTTGTTCTCCAAAAGTCAGGAGTTGACAGTATGATATATATTCGCAATTCTATTTTCCATAATATATACTTGTAGGGTGTATGTGTACCTATTCATATTCTCTAGTTGTATAATAATAACGATTGATATTTCTTTCTGGATCTAGTTTACATTATAATTTTGCCACTTTATGTAACCCATTTGTCTAGACTATTAATTCGGCCAATACGATTTGTGCTTCCCTAGAAGGTCGTTAATACTATTTAATTGCAGAAACACATTGAGTCACTATGGCTTTGTCTTCCACTATAAGATTCAAAATTTCAAGAATCTGTAACAAATTATAATAGATTTCTTTGAAAGACTTACTAATAAAATGGTATTGCTAAGCCAATTAATTAATTTATTGTTAGATATCTTGATCATCTTTAATCTAAGATATTGCTGTTCCAACAATATTCATTATATATATTAAGTCACTTATTTTATACCCTTCACCATGCTTTTCTATAAAGGCCTTCAAATTTTTATATGATTAGAATTGATCTTTAATTTATTGTTATTATTGTTTTTATTCTTATTCCAATTACTTGATTTCGTCTTATTCGTTATCATCAGCCTAAAGTTGAGTGTGAACTTGAAACACTGATTTATTGATTATTTCTTCAACACTTAAGATGCATACCAACAAAATACCATATTAGAGCAAATTCCTTATTCTAGTTTGTAGGAGGAATTTACCATATTTTGGACTTAATGGTATTTAAGACAATATGATACCTAATTGTGTAATGTTTGAATTATCAGAATTAGTATCTTATTTGACTTTCATGGCTCCCAATTTGATCAAATTACCAAGACTTTCTTTGATTTCTTTTATATCTGGACTTGTCAAGTAAGGGAACTTATAGACATCTTTGATTCCAATACTTTTCATTTATAGGATGACATGATCCAAACTGATTTAAGTGATTTCTGGATTATCGAATTTTTAGAATTGATTTGAATAAACAGCAGTTGAATATAGCCTATAACAATAACCAGGGCCTGTTCTACCTGCTCTTCCACTTCTTTGATCGGCAGCAGCCTAAGATATCCATCCAATGACATGTTTTTCTAATCCAATTTTTGAATCTGTGATTTTTCTTTTTTGTTTTCCAGCATCAACAACATAACGTATAGTTGGAATTGTGATTGAAGTTTCTGCAACATTTGTAGCGATAACAAACATTCGTTTCTTAGTTGGATTATTATGGAATATGATTTATTAATTTTTTAGATCTAATTTAGAATAAAGAGGAACCACAATAAAATCTGATAGATCTGAATCGATTTTAAAGGCATTATTTTATGTCATTTAAACAGTTCCAACTAAATTTTTCAATTCTAAATAGTCAGCCTTATCATCTATTTATTATTATTATTATTATTATTATTATTATTATTATTATTATTATTATTATACTTCTTCTTCATTTTCTTATTAATTTATTTATTATTGATTTTCTTCTTCACTATTAGAGTATTCTTCATCTATTTGTTACTTTCTCATTCCTTATCGTAATTTATCATTTAATATGCTACAACATTAATGAATTTCTTTCTGTCCTGTCAGAAATATTAGAACATCTCCAGGGGGTAAAGTCTGATGAATTTTAACACACTTTTCAATGGCTGCTGAAACGTAATCATCCTTGGTCCTACAATCATTACAGGTACTTACACTTTATTGAAATATATTTGTACTGGATATTGACGAGTTTAAATTTTGATAAGATTGAGAGTTCTTGGAAATACTAGTTTATTATTTAAGAAATCATCCAATCTTAAAGTGGCACTCATGATTACTAATCTTAATGGTTTATTCATCTTGGCCCTTGCAATAACTACTCTTGATAACACTCCGATCAGCAAATCTATATTTACCTTTCTTTCATGAGCCTCATCAATAATTATTACAGAATACTAAGGTACCATCACACTAGTTTGCATTTCATTTATTAGAATACCATCAGTCATAAACTACATTAAATTTAAAATCTACTTTCATTTTCATTTTATCAACATCAATTCCACTGCATTCGTGTTTAACTTGATATGATATCTCCTTGCCCATAGTAAAACCAGTTTCATCTCTAACTCTTTATGCCAATGAAATTGCTGCCAATCTTCTAGGTTGTGTGATTGCAATAGCACCAAATTCAGTGAATCCTGCCTCATATAGAAATTAAGGAATTTAAGTACTCTTACCACATCCAGTTTCTCCTGATATTAATGTAATCAGATTGCCTTTAATGGCATCAATGATGTCATTCTCTTATATCAAAATTGGTAATTATGCTCGTTGTTTTATAATATTTTCATCTCTATTTATTGTTTAATTTTTGAAGGAATTTATATCTGTAAGTAAGGTATCGTAATTTGTAATTGATTATGGATCAATATCATAAATATCATCCTTCTCTGGGTCATATTCTGATATCAATTCTCTTGGTTAAGCTTAAACCTATCCTTTTGGGATTCTTTTCTAATCAAATGACTCCAAACTAATGTCTGGGAACAGTTATTTGGCCATAATTTCTAGGCGTTCTGCCTCAGACATTTTTTAATGAGACTCATGATGTTGAATCTGGATTGGATTCTCATTCTCATATACAGTGGTCTGAAATATATTCACTTGTTATTTGCTATTATTATCCTATTGAACCTCTTCCTTATTTTCATTAATGACTTCTTCCTCCATATGATTTCCCACAGAATGTTTACGGTCTCTTTTGCTACTTGTGGCATCCTTTATACTGTTGAGTTGATTCATCTATTCTTGTGTCAATTAGGATTTGGCCAATGCAGCCAACAATGATTGTCTCTTGGCTTCCTTTTCTTTCTTCTCCTAGATTTTCTTGTCTTTCTTGTTCATATATTAAATTATTAAAAATGAAGAATTCAATAGGCCAAAGAAATATTATACAAAATTACGCCTTAGATACTAGTTTCTATCGTGTAAATTAAAATCAATCAATTCTAACCACTCGCCACTCCAAATTGCCTTCATTTAATAACCCTATTCCAATTTCAACTCCCACATCTCCTAAGGAATAATAAAACATGTGGAAGACAAACCTTTGTTTTCAAAATGATAACTCCTTCAGTCACAATCGAAAAAGACAAGAAGATCTCTCCAATTATAAGAAGAGTGCTAGTCCTCAATTAAGATAACTACCTAGAAAATCATATCATTTTTAGTTAGATTAATAACCGAAGCTGTTCTAAGCACCAAAATCTTCAGAAAGACGCAGCTTTAGGAACTCCATCTATTCTAGACCTAATTCAAGACTTATTGAAGACCAGTATACTTTGAAAGTGGCAACGACGAATAATGAATTTGGAAGGGGCAATTTTAAATTTCAATATGTCCTCGGAAAAGGAGGATTTGGAAAGGTTTGGAGAGTTGAGATGATCAAAACACGTAAACTATTCGCTATGAAAGAGATTAGTAAAGCAAAGTAAGTCTAAATTTAGCTAAAAGGGTTTTGGCCAAAAAATCTGTCAATTCAGTTATGAATGAACGCATTCTACTCTCGCAACTCAAACATCCATTTATAGCCAACATTCATTACTCCTTTTAAGATAGAGATAATTTGTATCTTGTGTTGGATTTGTTGACAGGAGGTGATCTCAGATATCATATTGGAAAAATGCGTAGGTTTTCAGAATAACATACTAGTATAACACTTATATTTAATATTCTTAGAGTTCTTGATTGCAAGTATGTTATTAGCATTAGAGTATCTACATAAAAATGGAATTATTCATAGAGACATCAAACCTGAGAATATTGTCCTTGACAAGAAGGGATATCCAAGATTAACAGACTTTGGTATTGCTCGGATGGTAAAACCAGAAAATTCTCAAGAAACCAGTGGTACTCCTGGTTACATGGGTATTTAGATTATTTTAAATCATCAGCTCCTGAAGTTATGTTCAGATTAAATCACAGCTTTGGAGTTGATCATTTTGCATTAGGAGTCATAGCTTTTGAATTTATGATGGGTTAACGACCATACTTAGGCAAAACTCGTAAAGATATTAGAGATGCAATTATTGCCAAATAAATTTTGCTCAAGAAACAAGACATTCCTCCTAATTGGTCCTGGGAGGCAGCTGACTTTGTTAATCAATTGTTACAAAGAAAACCTTAAGCTCGTTTAGGATATGGTGGCATTTAAGATATATAAAATCATCCATGGTTTTCAGGGTTTCCATGGAAAGAGTTGCATGAAAAATAGTTGACATCCCCATTCAAATTAATGAAATCTTCAGATGAAGACTTTATTCGAGAGATTTCCTCTGATCATGATTCGTAAGATGAAATGATATAGGAAAACATGTTATTACTCAGACAGGAGACAATTTAAAATCTATTTGAAAATTATACATTCTCAAAGGAACAACATGCAACAATCAAGAGATTTTGATTAAAATATTTACTTATTATAAATGCTAATAAATTAATGTTATGGTACTATTTTGATAATTACATTTATTTTTTATAAAGTTCACTACTGAATTAGGTTACAATTGCATTTTTTAAATTCAACTAAAAAATCCAAAATAAGGATCAATTATTCTCAGAATATTTAAATTTAAGAAAAATAATAAATAAATTTAACTAATTTTATAGGTTTCATTTAATCGGTTTTTCATAATAACTATGTCTAATATATGTTAGTACCCAAATTCTGATGGTAATTTGTATGCCCCAGGGCCTGGAGATTCAACTCTTATTTTGGTTAGTTCCCTTTTCGCTCTTGTGAAAACAGTCGATTTTGTATCTGCAAATTTGGAACAATAGTAAAGTCCTTTTGGATCAATGTCTCCTGTATGTTGATATTATCCTGGTCCAGGAGTTAGTTCATGAGCAGGAGAGAAACGAGTGCTTTTGGCTTTTGGTGGAGAAAGAATGATTGCACCAGAACTATGAGTTTAAATTAAAAATTACTCTCTAAACTTGCTAATTTTATATTTTCCATTTTCATTTAAAGCCTCTGGTAAATTGTACTGTCCACTAATAATTGAGAATAATAAAGATACGGTCCAGGTTTTCTATCTTTGTCCTTTTGACTCTCAGTTCTCATTCTCATTGTATATTTAATAGGAGATTTAGAGTCTTGGAACTCATATTGTCCTGGTCCAGGGGTTTTTTGGATTAAACCAAGAAAGATACCATCATATTTATTGCTTTTCTTAGGGATACTTAACTGATATGAATACATCTCTGCCTACAGGCATTGTCCAACCATTGGTTGCGTTGAGTGTAGTCTTTATTTAATAGTTATTTGGGCCTGGTGTAATGCTTTCTTCGATCAAATCCGACTTTTATCCATATCCAATTCCTGCTCCACGTTTGCTCATCATACTTGGGAGTGAGTAAATGTTTGGACATCTAGATTTATGAGTAGGGTAGATTACGCTGAATCCTTGAATTCTTTGAACCGATTAGCTTTAGGGAAAGAGTAAAGCTATTTGGAAACAGAGTGATTCAAAGGGGATTTGTTAATTTATTCAAACGATGTATTCATGTTATTTTATTATTATATTATTATATCTGTTATATCTCATACTTCATTTTCTAATACTTATTATGTAGCTAATTTGGCTTGGTTACAGAAACATTCAAACTATTTCACTTGTCTCTTAATTGAATCAAGTGATTTGTCCACTTGCATTTTTAGAGTGATCAAATTGTCAGGAACAGCTGCTCTCAATTTCTCTACTTTCTAATATTATGAATACTAATATTACATTGCAGAGACTGGCCAAATCATCAGTGATTGGGAACAAGTAATCATAAAAGATCTTACTGAAATCATTACTTTTAGTTTGGAAAATTTGAATAATGACTTCGAAGAATTTGTCTTAATATGGTTCCAAACTAAGGTAACGTCTCTCATTGTTGAATCCAGCCATTGATTCTGCTATCATTTTGGCCGATTCTTTATCGTTGGGATCAACGTACTTTTACCAAAGAGCAGCCCTTTCTTATTCATTTGCTATGAGAGCTTTGCATTTCAATTGAGCTCTTGAAGCAGCATCAGAAGTATCAATTTACAACATCTTTTCGAGGATCTCTTATCTTAATTCAGGATTGGAATCATATTTTTAAGAGGCATAAACTAATTTAACAATTGCCCATTTGGTATCTTTGGTGCACTCAATTTAAGATAATTCTTAATTTTATCCTTAGAACCAAGCCAACAATTCATCGATACAGGTGTTATCATATGCAAATGCTGCCATGTTGTTTCTTAATAAGATCAATTTATTTTCTTGTTATGGATCTTTGCTAACTTTGATTATTTGTTCTAAAAGGAATGTAAATACTCTTTTGCCAAGAATCTTCTTGAATCTATGGTGATTATAATTATAATTACTTTCTTGGTGTCATGGATGCAATAGCAGATTGTAAGTATAACAATTAAGTATTCAAAATTTCATCTGAATTTTCTCTTGGAAGTTAGGCCAATAGGAAATCAACATACTCTTCTGAGCATATTTTACCATCTCTAACACTATCAAAAAGAGCTCTGTAAATCAAAGTTCTTGTTAAAATATCTTAGACTGCTTGTAAATTTTAACTGAAATATTTTGTGGACTCTTAGTCAAGAAGTACCTTCACAAAGGATTAATCTTCATAATTCAACAATAATGCTCTATATCCCTTACTACCATCATAAGTGATGACATTTTCTTCTGTTGCTTTGAGTATGGTGTCAACGGTATCTATGCCATTATCATGGAAAAATCCTATTTTAATTTTATGGATTCTCAATGTAGGGAATTAACTTAAAGCAGGTCTTTAAAAGACAGTCAATTTAGCTTGATGAGATCTATCAGTTTAATCCCATTGAGGTTCAATTTCATTCATACCAGCAGTTTCAATCCATTGTTATTTCCAATAGGACAAAGTAAATTCTTGATTATCAAATTTCTCTTATAAATGATCAATTAAATCTTATAAAACAGCATTCTTCCATCCGAATTTTCTAAAATAATTTCCACAAGCCTCTCCGAATTTAGCTGCTCCCATAATGCACATTAGTTATTTCATAACTGATGCTCCTTTAGAATATGTAATTCCATCGAAAATGTTCTCTGCTACTTCAGTATTGATAACTTCACCAGCAATTGGATGTGTAGTAAGCATTTAATCTTCTCTGTATCCCCATCCCTTTCTTTAATTGAACATAACAGGAATGTTAGATAATTTGATGGTTTCAATATTAATATTTTCCTAACAATAGTGTGAAATGAATTCAGCGTAACTTTCATTTAACCATAAATCATTCCACCATTTCATTGTTACAAAATCTCCAAACCAATGATGGGCCATTTCGTGAACTATTGTATTAGCAAATGAAGTATAACTAGTAGCTGGTTTCTTCTCTTTAAAAACGTATGCATCATTAAATGTCACACATCCAGGATTTTCCATAGCACCCCAATTGTACTCATTAACAAAGACAGAATCATATTTATTGAATTAATATTTGACTCCAAAGAAATTCTCATAGAATTTCATACTTTTCTTTGTGACTTCAAATATGAAATCTTTTAAATTTATCATGTGTTCTTTTAAACTTTCTCTGCAGTATATAGTCTAAGGTATATCATCTTGTTCTCCTTAAAATTTGACAGACCAATATTCTCCTGCAACTAAAGCAAATAAATATGTTGGCAAAGTTTTTGTTCCACCAAACACCCAAAGGTTGTATGAATCTGAATTCTCGAGATTTTAGAGCTAACTATCCACCAATTCTTAAGGCAGATAATCTTTAACTACGTTAACAGCCTAAGCAAAATTAAACTATTAATTTTGATCAGCATTTTCATTTGAAATAACCACCCACTCTTTAGGACATACTGCGGTGAATCTCAATTTGGCTTTCAAATCAGGTTGATCCATACATGGGAAACTAATTTATTATTATTTTCTTATACAATCTGTTTGTGAAATAAGATTCGCATTAACTATACAAATATTATTTTCCATCTTTATCAATATAGCCATGTAATCCACATCCATCTTTAGCATAATCCTAATCAAATTAGATATTAACTCTATTCTTTTGAGATGTGCTCAAGAATTCTTTGGGTACTTTGATAAATAATCCATTCCAATCCAAATTATTAATCTTATTTCCATTGACATACAAACTAACCACTTTCTTTCCTCTAAAATCAACATACAAGTCAGTCAAAGTATGTTTTGCATCAAAATCCAATGTTACTAAACCACTATATGATTCACCTACGCATTATCTTTATTAGATAGGTACCTTTTTTCAGCAATAAATCCACTTTGTATGAAATACTATCTTATACAATTTGACCCCATCTTTGAATAGCTCCTGCTTAAGTTAAAAATCGATTTTATCCAAACTCGTTTTCAGCAACAGGTGGGTTTGAAGTCACAATTATGCTAGATTTCCTGGCTTTATCGTATTAATGATAGGTGAGAGCAACACCACTCAAACCCAAAGCGACAATGATTCCAATTTTGGCTGACTTCGAATCCGCGAATTTCTTTAAAATTTGCATATTTAATTTATATTAAAAAGATATATATTAACAAGATAGCACTTATCAGAGTAAGGATGACGTATTTCTTCATAAAGAAGCATAAATATGTGCATTTTCATCATAAATATTATTTATATAATTGTTTCTAATTAATAAATTTTTGCATTAAAATTAATATTCCTTAATTTATTTAGAATCTTCTCTATGAGTTACTTATTTTATGGATTAAATAAGTTCCATACATTCTGACCCTCCTCTGATCTCATAAAAACAATTAGAAATATAATTTTAATAAATTCAAAGTTGCATCCTTATTAAAAATCATTTAAAAATTGAATACAACACAATAATTTTTAAATTATATGTCAATGAAAATAAATTACATTCTTATTATAATTCTCCTGATTCTTTACGTTTATAAACAGACTTAATTGAAAGTTTATAAATTTATAAAATGATTAATTAAAATCATGGTATTATCTTAATTGTGATGTAATTAGTTATTTTATTTATTTTATATAAAAAATGCAATAATTTTATGACACAGATCTCCAAAGTGAACATCCACCTTCGGATATTTTGAGTGAAAAGGACATCCCTAAGGAAAAATTACATAAGCAAAAAATGCTTGTAAAAAAGGAATTGCTTCACGTAAAAAAGGAAGTCAGATAAAGAGGCATTAGCTATGAAAAACCAGCTTATTATGATAAAGTAAAAATAGCAATCATAGAAATAACTGAAGAGGAATACAATAATGGAGATGAGAAATTAATTCTAGAAAATGCTAAAATAGTGGAATAGCACATATTATCTCCACAAAATGATAGGTGGATTGATAAGGCATTGTAGTCGATGAAAAAACAGGAGATTAGTATTTATATTCAAGAACATTTAAAACATGATGAAAATTAAATGAAAGTTTTGGATTACAAAGTGTACACTCTAATTTAAATGATCGACTGGTAAATCATAGTCGATCTCTTTTAAGATTAAACCTATTTAAAGTACATTCTTCAACTGGGCAAGGGGGGAGATCGTTGCGAAATACTTGATGAAATTATTTATGAGATAAAGATTTTTTAAGGCGAGAATTTGCTATTTACCGATTCTTAGGATGGTCCATCACCCATAAAGCTAATAAAGTCCAAAGTAGTGTATTAAATTTTAAAGACTATGAAAAATAAGGAGCTTTCATTGTGTCATATAAAACATGACTCTTATTTGTAGAATGAAAATTAGGAATTCCTACAATCATTAAATTATGATAAAGAAGCTAAAGTTGATTGGAAAGTCGAAATAAACGTGAAAACCTTATTCAAGATTGACGATTTATATGGCGATGGAATTCTAATCAAGACTACTATGTATAGAAGTAGAAACACCGCAAAACCTGATAAAGTGTCACTAATAGATTTCGATATGTGGATTTATTCGATGTCAACAGACCCTTATCCAAAGAAGGAAAATCTATTATATTCATCCACAGATGAAGATCCTATCTATGATAGAATCGAAGCAAAAAAACATAATGACGAGGATGAGGAACCCAGTCAGGGTAGTCTATCATTGTATATTGATGATCTAAAAGTATCAAAGTTAATGAGACTTGCTCTTTTGAGAATGAAAAAGAGGGAACTAAGCATAATTAGATGTTATGAAACCAAGGATCTTATAAAAAATGGGATTGATTATGAGGGAATGAAAGGAATGATTGAAAAGGAGCTCATTTATGTGATATATGTTCATACATTCAGCGAGGGTAAGAATAACTTCAGCATGACGATTGATGAGAAGATTGAATAAGCCATCAGGAAAAAACAAATCGGGTTGAAATGGATTTCTTAGTAAAATTATAGAAAAGCATTAAAAGTATTCAAAACCATTAATGCCTATTTTGATTATGGAACATTCACAGAGGATGATAAAGAGAAAATGAGAGAAGTATCTTAATTATATCTAAGTAGTTTCAAATATCATCGTTACTAAATTCTTCATTGTGTATGATGAAACTCAAGGAATGGAAGGACATGAAAATAGTATGTGAGAAACTATACAAATTAGATAGCAAAAATTAGAAGGTTGTTTATAGATATTGTTATGCTTTGATGAATTTGTATGAGTATGAGGAGGCTTTGCAAATCATTACAGAAGACAATGAAGATTTAATTAAACTTAAGATGGAAATCAAATAGCTATATTCTTAATATAAAAATAAGGAGAAATAAATGTATTAGAAATGGTTATCTTGAATGTATATTATGACATTTATAAATATATTGTAATCACATTTCTTTTGGATATTTTTTAATTATGTTAATTGATCTCATAATTGATATATATTCTTAATAGTGCCAAATTACTAAGTGATGTAATCATTTAAATAAATGTATATATATAATTTATCTATTTAATTTTCAATTATTACTTTAAATTAAAAGGCACCCCATTAATGGATTAAAATTAACTTTCTGAGGCAATTCAGAAATTAGAATTATTTTTTAGTTGTCGTTAATTGGATGATTTGGACACAATGAGTGTTAGCGATCCATACATAATTCTATTTTAAAAAACTAATTAAAACAATTGTAATGAACTGCCTTTGATAAGTTAGGGAGTAAAATAGGATAAACAGAATTAATTTGGAACAATTTAAATCCAAATTTTGCAACATCAATTATAATAGAGTATTATTTTGAAGTTCACCAATATCTTAAATTGGAAGTACATCACTATGTTAGTTAAAATGAATCAAAAGTAATGAGAAATATAAAAGCTTATAGATGATCGGAATCGCAGAGACTTCTCTTGCAGCCATAGCAGGAGCAAAAGATTAAATACTAATGGCAGATCTGTTTAGTCTATAAGGAAAAAAAAGTGGAAAAATTGTTGTTAAGGCTGATTAAGTGAAACACTGTAATGATGACTTAGAAATTACAGTTTCCGGTTAAAATATACCTGACACCAGAATTGGGTTTTGGCATGGTGCGTGTCCATTCTTAAGATTCTATAGATTGAGAAAAGATGATAGTAATCCAATTTTAGTTTATGAATCTGAATTTATAAAGGACTCTTCAAATCCTACTTGGAAAACTATATAATGTAAATCATAGAAGCTTTGTAATGGAGATTATTAAATGCCAATAAAAGTAGAAGTTTGGGATCATAGAACGTCAGGTAAGCATCTGTATTTGGGAGAAACTACATTCTGCATTGAAGAACTGAGAGATTCATTTACATAGAATAAACCATAAAAAAAAGAATTCAGAAATAAATAAAAGAATAATTCTCCTGCTGGTACAATAACTTTTGAAAAATTCAATCTAAAATGCAAATATACATTCTTAGATTATTGTGAGGGAGGTTAATAATTGAACTTAATCCTTGGAATTGATTTTACTGCTTCAAATGGTCATCCTAAAGACAAAAAATCATTGCATTATATTTCATAGGATTCAAATTCAAGTTAATATTTATAGGCTATTACCAGTGTAGTTGAAATTTTGATAAATTATGATCACGACAAGAAAGTGCCAATCTATGGTTTTGGGTGTCAACCAGCATTCAATTTAATTAATACAAATTAAACCTTACATCTCTTTCCTTTGAATGATAATCCAGAAGATCCTGAGTAAATTTTATCTTAATTCATTTAGAGTATATGGATTAGATGGGATCGTCTAATGTTATAGAAATGCTATTTAAAATATGCAATTAGATGGGCCAACATATATACATCCTGTCATAGCCAAGGCAATGGAGATGGCAGTGCAAAGTAAACTTAAAGGAAGCCAGAACTATTTGATTTTAATGATTCTAACGGATGGACAAACAGATGATTTACAATTGTCAATAGATGATGTAATAGAGTCATCTCATTTACCATTATCAATTATCATTGTGGGAATAGGAAATGCAGATTTCAAGAAAATGACCATACTCGACAATGACGACAATAGCATGGTTAATAGTAAAGGATAAAAGGCTCTAAGAGATTTAGTATAGTTTGTCCCATTCAATCAATTTAAGCATGATTCAACTCTGTTATCAAGAGAAGTCTTGGCTGAATTACCTAATTAATTGGTCGAGTACATGGAATTAATGAAAATTCCGCCGAAACCACCAACATGTAAAATAAGTTATTTATTAAAATTAGATAAAAAGAACTTACTACAATATTAGTAATTTTAGTAAAATCAGCAGAATAAGGTTAACTAGCAATCTGGGAACACAGGATTTACAACTCAAAACTAAGGTTAAGGATTCGCCTAACAAGGGTTTTGAAATAACTTTGTCAACTAAATATAACTATCTATAAGTTATTCGTAGTTATATTTGATCATTTATATTTATATATATGAATTTGTCTTAAAAATAGATAGATATATTAGTTATTCAATGTTTATATAAAATAATGTAGTAAAATAATATCGATGAGAATGAAGCAAGTCTATTATTCAAATTTATTTTGATAGGAGATGTTGGTATTTATGATACACTCAATCTTCGTAGCTGTTGGTAAGACATCGTTGCTTAAGTAATTTGTGGAGAAGAGGTCTTGTGATGACTATAATATGACTATTGGAGTTGAATTCAACATCAAGTATATCTAAGTGAATCATCATGTCATTAAATTGCAGATGTGGGATACAGTAAAAAGATCCTTAATGAAAAGTCTGGACAAGAGAATTTCAAAAGTGTGACACGTTTGTATTACAGAGCAGCAGCGGGAGCTATCATGGTTTTTGACATTACAAGACGAGAAACATTTGAAAACATTCGTAATTGGCATCGTGAGGCTCTTGACAATGGCAATAGCAGGATGAAATTTCTACTCATTGGCAACAAGACAGACTTACAGAATCAAAGAGAAGTTGAATTTTATGAAGCAGCTCAATATGCAAAAGAAAATGAGTGTCTCTATACCGAATGTTCTGCTTTGTAAGGATCTAATGTAGAAAATGCATTCATGGAATTGGCACATCAAATTTATCAGATGGCCACAGAGGACCCCAACTTGGTTAATGAATAATACGGGATCAAGTATGTCAATAATGCCAACAGTTCCATGTCTACAAGCAAAATTGTAAATCAAAATGCTTAATATAACAAATAGTCATAAAAGGTAATCAAGTAGCAGCACTAATAGATAAATAATCATAACAATGAAGAATTTATTGAATATTATGGTGATTAGAATTAATCCAATCAAAAAAAGGCTTAGTGTAACAATTGCTGTGCAGATATATGAAATATACTAAAAAAAGAATACTCATAGAAGATTTATTTATATATATATTGGCAATAAATAATATTTATTTTAAACCTATACTCTCTAATGATCAACGACAATAGAAACCCAGCATTTTTCCAACAGCCAAACCAAAATCAATATAATATCATACTACCCAATACTAATTAGCCAGTTATTGGTTAAAGATAGGGATATCCTATTTAAACAACAACCTAACCAATTATTTAACAGCCATTACAATTCTAAACCTAATTTCCACTTCCACCTCAAGTCAATTATGTACCCTAAACCATACAATCGAAACCTAATGTGTTACCTACAGTCTACTAAGAGAAACCCACATAGGTCATTAATATGGATGGTAACAATCTAAATTATTCCTATAGAAATCGAGGCTCCTTGGAGATTAAAGTGTGCAACTTTAGAGAGATAAATTTTGGAATTGCAAATTCAATTGAGAAAAGGACCAGGACCTACTGAACCAGATGCTATTGAGGTTATTGATGATACTAGATTACGAGAATTAGAATCAAAGAAAGCTTAATTGCAACAGATGATACAGGATAGAGATAGAGAAATTTCTGAATTAGAGAATTAAATTCATTAATAATAAGAATCAATTGAAATATAAATCTAAGAAAGAACAGTCCATTACTCAAATGAAATAGAAACTTGGTAGAAGAGATTCTAATAATTAGAAAGAGATTATGCATAATCATAAAGATAATTATAAGATTTACAAGATGAATAAAAAAGATTAGAAAAATAAAATTAAGATGTTCGTACATCCTAGCAGAGAGTTGGGTAAAGTAGAAATTATTGAATTATCATATATTGAAACATAAAATATAAGCATATTTATATAAATTCAATTCACACTAAAAAACTTAATTTTGCTAAGATGATTAATTTAAATTTTCTTATCAATCATATTTTATTTATTTAACATAAATTTAAATACTCGATTCCTCTTCATATTCTTTTCTATTCAATTTGAATATTTAGTATTAGTTCAATAATTTAAAATAAATTTTATGAATTCTATTTCCTTTATGTAAAGATTATTCATTAAATACACAAAATAACAATCAAAATTTTGATCAAGCTACTAATAGAAGTTTTATTGCTTCATCTAAACTTGCACATTATTGGATTTTATTTAAAAGGAAAGTCTTAACGTTAATCTCTCTAACATCATTAATTTATAACAAAATTTTTAGGTAATCTATAACGCCTAACAATTCCTTTAAAATATAAAATATTATTACAACATCCTTGACATTATCAATATATGGTATAATTGGTATACCATTTTCAATTTAGAAAGCATAAGAATAAGCAGCATTATCAATCAAAACAATGTCTTTTAAATCTCTATTTATTATTCTTAAATCTTTAACATAGATTCCTTATTAAGTTTGTATACAATTCTCTCTATACAATCGATAAGATACCCATTTACGAGATGGGTCAAGCTTGTCAATTATTTTATCAGCATATAATTAATGAGAAGCTGTAAATATTATAATTTCAAAATGCTTTGAGCATTCCGATAAAAACTATTGTGCAAATGGTCTAACACTTATTCCTGCCTAATTAATATATTTAAACATACTTCATGAATTTATCCATTTGGCATTTAGATTGGTATTTTAAAATCAAATTTCATTTATTATTATTCATTACAATGCATCAGCGTTTCATCTAAATCTAAAACAAGAGTTTTCTAATTTTCTATAGTATTAATTTATTTTTACTTATTTTTTATAGCTGAAGCATTTTTGCCTCTAACTTATTCTGATCTGGCTATTACATTTATTTGCTTAATTGCAAACTATGAAACTACTGAACGAAGTGATTTATATACATTTAAGCGTACAATCCTTCTAGGTTTAATCCTTTTAAATAATTTCGTAAATTATCCATGTAATATATTCCCAAATTTATCTAGTTAAATTACTTAAATTGAGATTCCTCAGAAACCTAAGATTCTTCTTGTAGCCATTCAAATGACTCAGTTCTCTTTACCCTTAATGCTTTCAATTCTCGATTAAACTCATAGACTTGGCATTAAGAATCACTCTCCTATTATTAATGATAATTAGCTTTTCTTAATTTGTTTGCTCTTTATTTCTCAGATGTCTTTAATATATCTTATGATTCTTTCTATCTCAATTAACTATTATTAAGAGAAGCATCTTTAATCACTCTTCTTGTAGGTTAATTTTTAGAAATTCCTGAATTACTAAAGAAAGGATGCTTCAAACCGCTATATTATTTTATCGGTGATTAGCACTCAATTTCCATGTTTTCCTCAGATTTTGGCTAAATTATCAAATTGGGACTCTTCACTAATTATCAATAATTTCTACATACTTCTGATTCAAAATTACTCCTTCCACTTTTATTAGACATTTTTGAAGAATCCCTATTCGGTAATTATAGCTTTTCTAATGATTTTAAACTCTCTTACACTAATAAGGATTTACTAATCCAAGACAATCTTTTGGTGTGCTTCTTCCTTTTCTTTGGAAGCTACTCTCTTATGACATTTAATTGGTATTTGAGGAATTTGTGTAGATTTTAGGAGGAGATGGCTTGCGACTGCTACTTAATATATTGTCCTTTGATATATCATTGGAATGGAATTTAGAACTTCGTCTTGATCTCATTGACTTATACCACCCTGAATATTTGATATAAAATTTTAATATTAATTTTCATATAAATGTTAAATAATTTAACTTTATTTTTTTTAGTCATTAAATCTAACTTTTAAAATGTATCCTATGTTATTCATCCTTACATTATCTAAGAAATTATTTGAATTCATTTAAGTTCTTAAAAGTAAAATTGAAATAGACTTCATTTTAGGAAAAATATAAATTAAATTGATTGAAAAATGAATTCATATCTTAATTGCAATTAAATTTTTATTAACAAAAAATTATCAATTTTAGATGATTTCTTTAAATAAATACATAATTTAAGATTTTAAAAGGTAACTAAAAATAAACAAATTTATTATTAATCTCTAAAAAATAAATTATAATTTCTTCTTTTTTAATCTTAATTAAATGTAAGTAACAGAATTGAGTGAAATATGATATACTAATGTCTTAACTGACCTTATCATCGTTAAAACTTATTATATGTTAACAATCTAACATATAATTAATTAAATATCCATATCTATTAATTCCTACTTTAATGTTTAAATTTATAATAGATCCAATTAATTGGCATTATAGTCAGATATTTCGTATAAATTTCAACAGTTTTTTTAATAATAAGCTTCCTTTTTTATATGAACATTAAACCTTCTTATATGATCCTTTAGTTATTCATATTAAAGTTCTTAAAACATTATAATTATTTTTTCATTTAAAAAAAAAAATTAATTTAATTATCTAAAACAATAATAAATCTAAATAATGAAGATTTCTGAGAAAGTAGTTTTAAATAAACATCAAGAGTCTTAGATTCGATTTTTATTCTTTTACCAACGTACTAGTTTACCTTCAGCCCATTCTCCTTCCTTTTCTATACCATTCGATCCTAAATAGGTTCCTAATCCATGCTGCTTGTTATTTAGCCACTGACCTTTATAAATCTTAGATAAAATATGATGCTTACTCTACCATCAGGCCATTCAAATGATCCAAAACCTTCTTTAACACCATTCGAATAGCTACCTAAATATTTTCGATTATCTGGCCATTGGAAAATCTAAAATCGGATAATAGTTTTACTCCTTAACCATCCATTTAATTGTTCTTCCATTGACCTCTATAAATTCTACCATCCTCCCACTTGAATTCACCTTCTCCTTCAATATTTCCATTAATAAATTCTCCATTGTAGACCGATCCATCAGCCCATTTAAATGTTCCTAATCCATTTTTGAGACCATTTTTATAATAACCCTCATAAACAGATCCATCACACCAAGTTTCAGTGCCATAACCATTTTTGGCATTTTCTTCCCATTATCCTTCATATTTAAGACCTTCCACACTGTAAAGAGTTCCCTAGATATTAAATTACTATAACTTTTCCTGAAGCCTTATTATTTTTGAATTCTCCTTCATAAATGTCACCATCCAATTTGATTAACCTACCTCTTCCTTGGAACATGTTATCTGCCCAATATCCTTCATAATATGAACCATTAAGCCAATATTGTCTACCACAACCATGCTTCAATCTCATCAAAATTATTATTTACAGTACCCATTTTTCCACTGTCCTTAATAAATGCAACCATCATCCGATTGATGGATCTAAAAATCAAATTTATTCTCTTCTTCATTATCATAATTAAATGATGTATATTATTACAGAATCTTTAAATTAAAAGTAAAGTGTCATATTACCTTATTCACTCTATTAACTAAATAATCAGGTACTTTGTCCAATCGTTTTATTTTTTCTGCTTGTAAGCATTCCAATTTAGTAATCTAAGATGGTTTAGTGTCTTAAAATGGTGTAGAGTCATTGAAACTCAACTCATTTAAGTTGTATTTCTATTCCTTCATTAAAATATTTTTTTCTTTCAATTTTTAGATTAATCCCTAATATCTTTTTCTTACTAAATACCCTCTGACACAAGCTAATCTAGATTTATTTCTATTACCTTGTATAAGCTTAATTTAATTAATATAGTTCAGATCTTGTTCAGAGATAATTGTATTTTGGATCTAAGTTTACAAAATAATTTAGCATTTCCTTTCTTAACCTTAATACCCTAAACAGCATTATCCCATTGAATAATGAGTAATAACTTTCAATTATATATTATATTTATTAAAATAAAAACATAGGTTTATGTATTATTATTCAAGTTGTTGATTCATAACAGTGAAAATTATTCGAGATTCTTTCTTATTTAATATTTCTAATGTAAAAGTATTAAATTAATAATTATTAAAAATATGAAAAACTAAGTAACAAAGAGCATCTCTCATTCTACCATTCCAAAACCAGGAAAATCCCAAACTCATAAAACCCCTGAAAAGCATGGAATCCCTAGAAACGTTAATTATTATAGCCATTTTTTAGCAGAACCATACATCACAGAAAAAGATATTGAGTTTGTGCTTCAGTTAAGAAACATGGATAATGTAAATTTGTTGTTTGACAATAGGCAGAAATGACATCAAAGTTAGCTCGGATTCCTAATCAAGTTTTTTCAAGAGGAGATCAAAAAATTGAATCATAAAAAGAAAGGCATCTTTCTAGAGACGTCAATTACACAGGAAATTCTTCGTCAATTTTACATTTAATGAAGGGTAGAATAGGACCTACTCCCCACATCAGTCAAGCAGAATTTGAAACTGGCCTTAGGTCATATGCTAAAACTGATAAAAGTCTTGTTGAAAAAGAACGCAATTGGACTACTGTTCCGAAAACCAAAAGAAAAGATTTTTTTCCTGAATTTTTGCCTAATTACAAGGAAGAAGTGCAAAAAAGGAAGTCTCTGAGCATTAGTGGAAATAAATTATCTAAACTAACATATAGTGGTAATAGTTAATCATATGAAATAAAGCTTTCGATCCAGATACGCATTACCCTCAATATTCAATGAAATTTAATGAGAAAAACATTTAGCATGTAAGACATATGTTTGTACCTGGTGCTAAAATGTCAACAATATAATGGTAAGAAGGTTTAAGACCTTTAGTACAGATAAAAAGGTAAAAAAAAGACAAAAAATGATTTTATATTTATTGATAACATTATACTTATTATTAATGATAAAGGAAGAATTTAAGAGACAGAATTTGAGGGTGTTTAATATTACAATTATTTAATAATCTTGAGATTTTTTCTTATTAAAAACAAATCTATATGTGCTTAGAGTATTGAATAAGAATTAGATTAAAAAACAAATCTATTTAAGCTAATATTCATGAATCATTTTATTAGGTATCACTAAACTGCTTTTGAAAAATTTATTGATATTTGTAAAGAGAAGAACAAAATTTTTTTGAGTTATTTAATTTGAGTTTTATAACTATTATTAAAATTGAAATGGGAAATTTATGTGATTTTATGAAAACAGAAAATCAGGATGTTCAGAGTTCTCTCAATTAATAGACTTCTTTGCAACCAATTTAAGAATGTATGCTGTTTATTAAGACTCAGAGGAATTAGGGATAAAATCAAGTAAGACTCTTGATAACTCCACATCATTTATGCCTGAACAAACTCATAAACGAGTAGGATTAGAAGATTTCATAATGTTGGCTACAGTTGGCAAAGTATCAGTTAAATTTATAAGGGTGCCTTTGGAAAAGTGTACAAAGTTAAAAAAAATGACAATTAAAAAATATATGCTATAAAATGCATCAATAAAAAACTGATATTTGATAGCAAATTAGAATCAAATGCATTATTAGAGAAGAATGTTTTAAAATAAAGCAAACATCCATTTATTGTCTAGTTGAAATATTCCTTTTAAACGCCAACTAAATTATATTTAGTTATGGAGTATATCAACGGAGGAGAATTTTTTAAAATTCTTACAAAAACAAAAGGTTTACCAGAATCTATTGTTACTTTTATTGCAGCTGAAGTAGTTTTGGCTTTGGAATATTTGAATTATTAGTTGAGAGTTATATATAGAGATTTGAAACCAGAAAATATTCTACTTACAACCACAGGACATGTTAAATTAACAGATTTTGGCTTAGCTACTTTAAGAAAAGATGAAAATGCTAAAAATTACACTGTATAAATTAATAATAATATCAGTTAGCAGGAACCCCTGAATATTTAGCTCCAGAAATCATAAATAAAAAAGGTCATTCTTTTGAAGTTGATTTATGGACATTAGGTATCTTAATATATGAAATGATTAATGGGTATCCACCATTTACGGTTCCAGACAGAAACACTTAAAAAATATTAAAATTAATTCTGCAAAATTAGCCAAATTACCCATCAATAATGAGTGATGAAGCTATTAATTTAGTTTAAAGATTGCTTAAAGATAATCCAAAGGAAAGAATAGGAGCTGAAATAGTATTTTTGTATTCTATATTCCTAGGGATACTAAGAAATAAAATATCACCCTTTTTTTGCAAAAATTAAATGGTCAGAATTATACAACTTAAATATTAAATCTCCTCTTAAGACCTTTGCAGAACAAAATGCTACGAGGTCTGAAGGGCTCAGAATGCCTAATGTGCAAATTTAGGAGACTCCAAATCCTCCATAGGCAAATTTATTCGGTATGAGTTATGGAGGAGGCGATGATACATATAACTCTAAGAGACTGAATTGATAGATTATAATATATTAATGGGTATTTAATTATTTAATATGAACTCAAAATTAAATATGAATAAAATATATTATTATAATCAATTTATTGTTAAATGGCTGAAACGTAGAAGCGAACAGCTTAAGAAGAAACACTGGAAAAAGGACCGTTTGGATTGTTAACAATTACTGTGAGTCATAATACTCAAGTTTTGATAGAGCTAAGAAATAATAGAAAGCTTTTAGGAAGAGTTAAAGCCTTTGATAGACATATGAATATGGTATTTTTATTTTATATAATTAATTAAGATTCTTGAGAATGTAACTGAAATGTGGACAGAGATACCAAAAGGAAATAAAGGGAAAAAAGCTCATGCAACGAATAAAGAAAGATTTATTCCAAAAATGTTTTTAAGAGGAGATTCTGTAATATATATATTGAGAAATCCAAAGTGATATTATTGAAAATTATCAATAAACTCTATGAGATAATATTAGAGCATCAATAAAGTTGTTATACAAACTATTATCTTTAATTGAATTTTTATAACCATTATGCTTTAAACTTACTCATAGAAATTATTGGCTATAGGCTAATATATAAATTTCAGACAACCAAACCCGTGGAAAATATAATTTTGTTTTTTAATCATAGCTTCGCATTTAAGAAATTTCATATTTTATTTTTTATACCAAAATGAATATAATACGATTGTTTTTTGAATTTTGTAAAATTATAATTATTTAAAAGGCTTAAAATACCAGAAATTTGTTAAATCAATTCGATACGATTTTACTAACTTACACAGAATAATAAATTATCCTTTGAATATTATAAAAAATGTTGTATTTAAAGAATAATCTTATCAAACTCTCACAATGTGATTCACAAAATTAATCAATTAATGAATTTTATACAATATTTGAATATAGATTTACTTCTTTTTCTTTAATTATTAAGTTTTTAGAATCTTATATATCTTTATTGAATGTATAAATAAATTTCTAAGCAAACCTCTTCAAAAATATTTATAAAATATGAATACTTTGTTTTTAAGTATTTTAATTCTGATTACTTAAGTATACAGTTAATGTTCATCGTAATAATATGATGATGGATTAGGAGGCTGTTTAAATTGCCTTGCTGAATGTGCAACATGTTCTGATGGAACAACTTGCAATAATTGCATATAAGGTTGGTATTTGTCTGGCAGTACATGCTTGAATTGTGATATGAACTGTTTAGAATGCTAAAATAACTCCAATTATTGCACAAAATGTAATGTACTCTAAAATAAATATTTGGATACTGCAAGCAATACATGCGTATCATGTGATCCACCAAAATTTAAAAACTAGCAGGATTGCGTAGATACTTGCCCTTTATATATAAATTCAGTAGATAGCACTTGTGTTAATAGTTGTGACGAAAATTGTTAAACGTGTTTATTATATTATAATCATTGCTTATCCTGTGCATCAAATATGTATTTAAATGAATCCTTAAATATTTGCTAATCGAATTGTGACTCAAGCTGTGCCACCTGTTTTGAAAAAACAACAACTTGTACTTCATGTAACTCGGGTAAATATTTAAATTCATCTACTCAATAATGCGAATTAAGTTGTGATAGCAATTGCTCTACTTGTTAGACGACAACAACATATTGTTTAACTTGCGATACAGGGTATTATTTAAATGAGTCAAATCATTAATGCCAATCAAGTTGTGATAGCAATTGCTTGACTTGCTAGACCACAACAATCTATTGTGTATCATGTGATTCCGGCTATTAACTGAATTCAACAACTCATTCATGTACATTAATTTGTGATAGTAACTGTCTAACTTGTTAGACTACATCAACGAATTGTTTATCCTGTGATTCGGGTAATTATTTAAATTCATCAACTCATTAATGCGAATCAAGTTGTGATAGTAATTGTTTGACTTGCCAAAATACAACAACATATTGCTTATCTTGTGACTCTGGTAATTATTTAAATTCATCAACTCATTAATGCTAATCAAATTGTGATAGTAATTGCGCAACTTGTTAGACTACAACTACAAATTGTTTAACTTGTGATTCAGGCAGTTATTTAAATTAATCAACTCAGTAATGTTAATCTAGTTGTGATAGTAATTGTGCGACTTGTTAAACTACAACTACATATTGTTTAACTTGCGATACAGGTAATTATTTAAATTTATCCATTCATTAATGTTAATCAAGTTGCGATAGCAATTGTTTGACTTGTCAAAATACAACTACATATTGTTTATCATGTGATTCTGGTAATTATTTGAATTTATCAACTCATTAATGTTCATCAAGTTGTGATATTAATTGCGCAACTTGCTAAAATTATACTACCTACTGCTTAACTTGTGATTCAGGTAATTATTTACATTCATCAACTCATCAATGTTAATCTAGTTGTGATAGTAATTGTGCCACTTGTTAGAATACAACTACATATTGCTTAACTTGTTATTCAGGTAGTTACTTAAATTCATCAACTCATTAATGCTAATCCGATTGTGATAGCAATTGCTTAACTTGTTAAACCACCACCACATAGTGTATAACTTGCGATACAGGTAAATATTTAAATTCATCTACTCAATAATGCGAATCAATTTGTGATAGCAATTGCTCTACTTGTTAGACGACAACAACATATTGTTTGACTTGCAATTCAGGTAATTATTTAAATTAATCAACTCATTAATGCTAATCAAATTGTGATAATAATTGCTTGACTTGCTAAAACATCACCACATAGTGTTTAACTTGTGACTCAGGAAATTATTTAAATTCATTAACTAATTAATGCTAGTCAAGTTGTGATAGTAATTGTTTCACTTGTTTAAATACAACAACGTATTGTTTATCTTGTGATACAGGTAATTACCTAAACTCATTCACTCATTATTGTGAATCAAGTTGCGATAGCAATTGCTTGACTTGTTAAAATACAACTACATATTGTTTATCTTGTGATTCTGGGAAATATTTAAATTCGTCTACTAACCAATGCTAATCAAGTTGTGATAGCAATTGCTCCACTTGTTAGACGACAACAACATATTGTTTATCTTGTGATTCAGGTAATTATTTGAATTCATCAACTCATTAATGTTCATCAAGTTGCGATAACAATTGCGCAACTTGCTAAAATACAACAACTTATTGTTTATCTTGTGATTCTGGAAATTACTTAAACTCATCAACTAATTAATGCTAATCAAGCTGCGATACTAATTGTTTAACTTGCTAAAATACAACGACATGGTGTTTATCTTGTGACTCAGGCAATTATTTAAGTTTATCAACTCATTAATGCTAAACAAGTTGCGATAGCAATTGTTTGACATGTTAATATACAACAATATATTGTATCTCTTGTGATTCAGGGTACTATTTAAATGAGTCAAATCATTAATGCCAATCAAGTTGTGATAGCAATTGCTTGACTTGTTAGACCACAACAATCTATTGTTTATCATGTGATTCTGGCTATTAATTGAATTCAACAACTCATTCATGTGCATTAATTTGTGATAGTAACTGTCTAACTTGTTAGACTACATCAACGAATTGTTTATCCTGTGATTCGGGTAATTATTTAAATTCATCAACTCATTAATGCGAATCAAGTTGTGATAGTAATTGTTTGACTTGCCAAAATACAACAACATATTGCTTATCTTGTGACTCTGGTAATTATTTAAATTCATCAACTCATTAATGTTCATCTAGTTGTGATAGTAATTGCGCAACTTGTTCAAATACAACTACCTACTGTTTAACTTGTGACTCTGGTAATTATTTAAATTCATCAACTCATTAATGTTCATCAATTTGTGATAGTAATTGCGCAACTTGTTAAAATACAACTACATACTGTTTAACTTGCGATTCAAGCAATTATTTAGATTTAACAACCCACTAATGCTAGTCAAGTTGCGATAGCAATTGTTTGACATGTCAAAATACAACAACTTATTGCATATCATGTGACTCTGGTAATTATTTAAATTCATCAACTCATTAATGTTCATCAATTTGTGATAGTAATTGCGCAACTTGTTAAAATACAACTACATACTGTTTAACTTGTGATTCAGGTAATTACTTAGATACATCATCTAATCAATGCTCAGCAAGTTGTGATAGTAATTGTGCCACTTGTTAAGATACAACAGCATATTGTTTATCTTGTGACTCTGGTAAGTATTTAAATTCTTCGACTCATTAATGCTCATCTAGTTGTGATAGCAATTGTTTGACTTGTTTGACAACGACGACATTTTGTTTATCATGTGATTCAGGTTATTTATTAAACGTCGCAAACCATTAATGCTCATCAAGTTGTGATAGTAATTGTTTGACTTGTCAAAATACAACAACCTATTGTTTATCTTGTGACTCTGGTAATTATTTAAATTCATCAACTCATTAATGTTCATCAAGTTGTGATAGTAATTGCGCAACTTGTTAAAATACAACTACATACTGTTTAACTTGTGATTCAGGTAATTACTTAGATACATCATCTAATCAATGCTCAGCAAGTTGTGATAGTAATTGTGCCACTTGTTAAAACACAACAACAAATTGCTTAACTTGTGATTCTGGTAATTACTTAAATGAGTCCACACATCAATGTTAATCAAGTTGTGATAGTAATTGTTTGACTTGCTAAACTACAACCACATATTGCTTATCTTGTGATTCTGGATATTAGTTAAACTCATCAACTCATTTATGTGAATTGACTTGTGATAGTAATTGTTTGACCTGTTAGACAACACCAACAAATTGTTTATCTTGTGACTCAGGAAATTACTTAAATTTATCAACTCATCAATGTTAGACAACATGTGATAGTAATTGCTAGACTTGTTAAACTACAACAACGTAGTGTTTAACATGTGATTCTGGGAACTATTTAAATTCATCAACTAATTAATGCTAATCAAGTTGCGATAGTAATTGCTTAACTTGTTAAAATACAACTACATATTGCTTATCTTGTGACTCAGGAAATTACTTAAATTTATCAACTAATCAATGCTAATCAACCTGTGATAGTAATTGTTTGACTTGTTCAACTACAACAACGTAGTGTTTAACGTGTGATTCTGGGAACTATTTAAATTCATCAACTAATTAATGTTAATCAAGTTGTGATAGTAATTGTGCAACTTGTTAAAATACAACTACATACTGTTTAACTTGTGATTCAGGTAACTATTTAAATTCATCAACTCATTAATGTTCATCAAGTTGTGATAGTAATTGTGCCACTTGCTAAAATACAACTACCTACTGCTTAACTTGTGATTCAGGTAATTACTTGAATTCATCAACTTAATAATGCTAATCAAGTTGCGATAGTAATTGTGCCACTTGCTAAAACACTACAACAAATTGCTTAACTTGTGATTCTGGCAATTACTTAAATGAGTCCACACATCAATGTTAATCAAGTTGTGATAGTAATTGTTTGACTTGCTAAACTACAACCACATATTGCTTATCTTGTGATTCTGGATATTAGTTAAACTCATCAACTCATTTATGTGTTTTTACTTGTGATAGTAATTGCTTAACTTGCTAAACTACACCAACAAATTGCTTATCTTGTGACTCAGGAAATTACTTAAATTTATCAACTAATCAATGCTAATCAACCTGTGATAGTAATTGTTTGACTTGTTCAACTACAACAACGTAGTGTTTAACGTGTGATTCTGGGAACTATTTAAATTCATCAACTAATTAATGCTAATCAAGTTGCGATAGTAATTGCTTAACTTGTTTAAATACAACTACATATTGTTTAACTTGTGATTCGGGTAATTATTTAAATTCATCAACTCATTAATGTTCATCAAGTTGCGATATTAATTGTGAAACTTGCTAAAATACCACAAATTACTGCTTATCTTGCAATTCAGGTAATTATTTAAACGAATCAACTCATTTATGTGAATCAGCTTGCGACAGCAATTGTTTGACATGCTAGACTACAATAATATATTGTTTATCATGTGATGCAGGCTATTATTTAAATACATCGACTCATTAATGCTAATCTAGTTGTGATAGTAATTGTTTGACTTGTTAAAATACAACAACATATTGTTTATCTTGCGATACAGGATACTATTTAAGCGAAACCACTCATTTATGCTCATCAAGCTGTGATTCAAATTGCTAATAATGTTAAACTACAACTACTCATTGCACCCAATGTTTCTCAAATTTTGTATTGGATAATGCTACTTATTAATGTGTTTTTGGTTGTGATTCAAATTGTCAAACTTGTGAAACAACTTAAACCAATTGTTTAACATGTTATTCTGGAATGTACTTAAATGAAGTTACTCATTAATGTTAGTCTTCTTGTGATAGTAATTGCCTTACTTGTGTTGATACTACAACCCATTGTCAAACATGTAACTCAGGAGAATAATTAAATTTATCTACTAACTAATGTGCTTCTTCCTGTGATCCAAATTGCTAAACCTGTTAAAACGCATCAACATATTGTTTAACGTGTGATGTAGGTTCATATTTAAATTTATCTAATCATCAATGCTAATCTACTTGTGATTCAAATTGTTTGACATGCTAAACTTCATCAGCATTTTGCTTAACTTGTACAAGTGGAATGTATTTGGATTAAGCAACTAATATATGTCAGCCTAATTGCGATGCTAATTGTGCCACGTGTCAAACAACTACAACTCATTGTTTAACTTGTAATTCAGGTATGTATTTGAATCCTAGCACAAATTTATGCGAATCAACCTGCGATAGCAATTGCTTAACTTGTTCAGGTACAACAACATATTGTTTATTGTGTAATGTTGGATAATATTTAAATGTATCTAATAACTAATGTCAATCTACTTGTGATTCAAATTGTGCTACATGTTAGACTTTAACCACTGAATGCCTCTCATGTCAGAGTGGCTGGGAATTAAGGGGATCTGGTACAGTTTGTTATATCGTATGTGATTCAAATTGTAAAACCTGCGAAACAACTGCTGTTAATTGCCTTACCTGTTATGACTTAATGTATTTAAATTTATCGAATAATCAATGCGAATCTACTTGTGATGCAAATTGTGCTACCTGTCAAGATACGACAACTCATTGTTTGACATGCGACTCAGGAATGTATTTAAATCCATCAAGCCATTAATGTTAAGCTACGTGCGATTCAAACTGCGCAACCTGCTAAACAACAACGACTCATTGCTTAACATGTAGTCCTGGTTTATACGAAAATCCTTCAACTTAATACTGTGAATCAAATTGTGATGCAAATTGTGCGACATGCCAAAATTTAACAAATTATTGTTTAACTTGTGCTTCCGGAAAATATTAAAATTTATTAACAAATTATTGTGATTCAACTTGTGATGCTAATTGTGCTACTTGTTCAGGAACAACAACCAATTGCGAATCTTGTGCTGTTGGAAATTATTTGAATTCGTCTACAAAAGTATGTCAATCGACTTGTGATGCCACTTGTGATACTTGTTAAGACACTACTACTTATTGTCTAACTTGTTAAGCTGGAAAATATTTATAATTATCAAATAATTCATGTTCAGCAAGTTGTGACCCAAATTGTTTAACCTGTTAAACTACTACAGCTCATTGCCTTACTTGCAATCCTGGAGAATATTTGAATCCATCTAATAATTAATGCTAATCTACTTGTGATCCAAATTGCAACACATGTTAAACAACTACCAACCATTGTTTAACATGTTTCCCAGGGTATTTGTTAAATTTATTAACTAATGCATGCTAGAATTCTTGTGATACTAATTGTGCTACATGCTAAACTTATGCAAATTATTGTTTAACTTGTAATGTTGGAATGTATCTAAATTCATCAGCGAATACATGTTCATTAACATGCGATGCTATTTGTGCAACTTGTCTCTCAACAACTACACACTGTTTGACTTGTAATGTAGATATGTATTTAAATGAGAGTACAAATCTTTGTTAATCCACTTGTGACTCAAATTGTTTGACATGTTAAACTACAACTACTAGGTGTTTAACTTGTAACACAAATTATTACCTAAATTTATCAAATAATATTTGCTAAAATACTTGTGATGCAAATTGTTTGACATGCTAAGTAACTACAACAAAATGCAAGACTTGTAATGCAGGGATGTATTTTAATAAATCAAGCTTTATATGTCAACCTTCTTGTGATATAAATTGTGATACTTGTTTGATAACAACAGTTAACTGTTTGAGTTGTCCAGTAGGAACTTACTTAAATGAAACAAATAATATATGTGTAACTACATGTAATTCAAATTGTGAAACTTGTGAGATTACAACAACCCATTGTTTAACATGTTTTTCAGGATTTTAATTAGATACAAGCACAAATAAATGCACAGTTGTTTGTGATTCAAATTGTGCAACTTGCTTCAACTAGCCAACACTTTGTACCTCTTGTTTTGATGGAATTTATCTCAATAAAACCACGAATGTGTGTCAAACTGATTGTGATACGAATTGTTTAACGTGCACAATTTCAACAACAAATTGTGAATCCTGCTATGATGGATATAAATTAAATGAAATTACATTTGTTTGCGATTTAATATGCACAGATAATTGTTAAAGTTGTGTGATAGTTCCATCACATTGCACTACTTGTTTTGATTAGATGTATGTTAACCTTTCAAATTTCGTTTGCGATTCAGCATGTGACGCAAATTGTGCAACATGCAAAGATACAACTACAAATTGCTTGACATGTAGTTCAGGACTATATTTAGATAATATCACTGTTACAACATCTGGGGTTTGTTTAGTATGTCATCCTCCATGTGCCGTTTGCTAATCTCCATCACAAGTAGAATTATGTGTTGATTGTTAATATCGATATTATTTGGATAATACTTAAACATGTTAATCCTGTCATCCTACATGTTACAAATGCTCAGGAACTGCAGATGTTTAATGTACTGAATGTGCTCCAGGAGAATTTTTAGTTGTAGCTGGAACTGATTAAACTTGTCAATCATGCACTTAGCCATGTTTTGAATGTTCATCAGCTTCAGTCTGCTTATCTTGCATTCCATAATATTTTCTCAGTGGAACTACTTGTTTGCCTTGCACACCACCTTGTTTTAATTGTGTCACAACAACAACAACTTGTGTAGATTGTTTTTTAAGTGATTTTAGAGGTGTGGTTAATGATGTTTGTGTTTGTCTTCCTCATTATTATGATCAAAATAATGGTGATAGTATATGCCTAATATGTGATACTAATTGTAAGACTTGTGTTGATGTACCAACTAAATGTACAAGTTGTGAAGATGGATTTTATCTGGATGGCACTACTTGTTTGGATTGTGACATATAATGTAAAACCTGTTAAACTTCAGCCACAAACTGTACTTCATGCAATGCCGATATATATTTGAGAACTTTATATAATAACTAATGTGTTTGTGATGATGGATTGTACTATTCTGATGCTTAACTTATATGTTCGGCTTGTGTTTCACCATGTGGGAATTGTTTGAGTGGTAAAGATGGTAATGGAATAAACTATGATGGCAATCAATGTGAAACCTGTCTGCCTGATAATAATAGAGCCTTGGATAACACCACTTAAACATGTCCTTGTCAAATTGGATTTTTTGATGCAGGCTACTTAGTTTGTTAAGCTTGTACTTCTTATTGTATTTCATGTATAACTAATGAGTTGGATTGTGATTAATGTAAACCATCTACATTCAGAGATCCAGCTAAAAAGTGCTTATGTTAAGATGGTTACTTTGGAACAGATCTTGTTTGTCAACCCTGCACCTTTCCTTGTTTCCAATGTGAGATATAAAGTGATAGATGCATAGCCTGTTCACCCGGAAGAGTATTAGATGGTAATACATGTGATTGTGCTTACGGATTTTATGAAGAGTCCGATGGATCTTGTTAAAGCTGCTAGAGTCCTTGTGCCTCATGTGTCACTCTTCCAACATTTTGTTATAGCTGTGTTTCTGGATATTATCAGCCCTTAGGTGAATTATAATGTCTAGCGTGCATTGTTCCTTGCGAAAATTGTAATCCCAATGATGGTCAAATATGTACAACTTGTCTCCCAAATTATAATCGAGAAGTTACAAACTCAGTTTGCGTTTGCATGGCATCCTACTATCAAATGGATGATGTGACTCCATGTATTCCTTGTGATAGTACATGTTATAATTGTGAAAATAATGGAGATGGCACTCAATGTACCGAATGCAGAGCAGGGGACAATAGAACTTTAGATACTAGTAAGTAATGCGTTTGCAACCTCAATCATTTTTCACAAAGCTCATCATCAGTATGTTTACCATGTATAGCTCCATGCTTATCTTGCATCATTTCTTAAGCATCACCACCAGCTGATGGCACTCAATGTCTTACTTGCTAAACGGGATAAAACAGAATAATTGATCTTGCTAACAATAATTGTCCTTGTAATACTGGTTATTACGAAACTACTGGAGTCTTATTGTGTAGTTTGTGTATATCTCCTTGTTTAGAATGCACTGATAATGGAACTGGAAATGAGTGTACATCTTGTGTTGCCGGTTCAAATCGTGTTGCTGTCTCATAAGTTTGTGTTTGTGGTGACGGATACTATTAAGTTGGCACAAATGTTACTTGTAGCTAATGCTATTACACTTGTTAAAAATGTTAGAATTTACCCACAGAATGCCACTAGTGCGATCCTTTAAAACATCGTGTACTATCTAGTACTACTTGCATATGTTAAGATAATTATTATGATAATTTGACAAATGATTAAGATTGCAAACCTTGTACAAGCCCTTGTGAATAATGTTACACTTATGCAGATGGAACTAAATGCAAAACATGCTTGGCTGGTTTGAATAGACATTTTTCTAATTTTTAATGCCTTTGCGATGATGGATATTTTGAAGACAATGGTGTATGCAGTCTTTGCCACGTCACTTGTTAAACTTGTGCATCATAATCTACATGTCAAACATGTGACAGTACTAAATATGATTCACTTCCATCCAAAAATGGTTTTGCTTGTGTATGTAAATAAGGATTTGAAATGAATTCATCAGGACAATGTGTATTATCATGTCCTATGGATTGTTTAACTTGCAATGTTAATACTTGTTTGACTTGTAATAGTAATAGAGTCTTATTAAATGGAAGGTGTGTTTGTGCTTTACCTGATAATACAAGATTTTGCAGAGCTTCTTGCTCAGAAATTAACTTTGGAAAATTAGCTACATCATTACCATCTCCAAGTTCGAACAATTTAATTGACTAATTGAATGCAAATTCATTATCTCCTACTGATATAGAAATGGACTCGCTTATTGATTCCGCTATTTCCTGTTCCCTTCAAAGTTCGCTCGAATAAGGCATTATTTCAACTGATAAAAATAACCATAATTCTCTAATGTTCAAATAATAAGAAATTCAAATTGATCAAAGTCCTTTTGGCAATTAAGCATCGTATTTTCATTTTGTTAAGGATAATGTTCGATATTTACTCTTTTAAAAAGATGCTACTGCCTTAAACTTAAGAATTCAATACAAATTCACTGTGGTTGCAGACAGCGAAAATATATAAAGCAATGTTGTACCCAAATCATCTCTCAATTAATAAATTATGACATTCAATATTGATTATTTATATACAGTTGTATTAGTGTTCACTTACAACATTAATGATCCTCCAACTATTACAAGTTCCATCATAGGCAGTGTTTATTAATTAAATATCCAATTGAGTTCATCCTAACCAGTTATTCTATTAACAGAATTCTATGTTAGCAGTGCAACCTTTAGCACTGCTACAAATGCATAGTTAATAAATGTGGCAAACTATATAGGCCAATTATATTGGTAGGGCATAGCATTCGAATGCACTCCTCATCCTAAGAATACCAAATAAATCTTTTGGGAAAATCATCAATTTTTACTTGAAGTTATACCAACTAATTTATTGCCATTAAAAGTAACAGATGGTTCCAATTATATTTCAACAGCACTGTCTTCGAGTAAATTCACTGGAAATAGTGCATTGATTCAACTAAATAATGTAGATATTAATTATTAGACTACATCTATATAATATGATAGTAGTGGATTTTCATATTTTACTGTCTAATTTCCAGAAATATTAGTATTTGGATTGCATATGCTATCATAATTCATATTCAGTTAATTTACAATTTAACATTTTATTACTACTGGATATTAAATTAACACATAATAGCTTACATATACAAGCAATAATTATTAATTTGTTGGTTATATGGTTGATATTTATGGTACAACATCTGTTAAGACTTTGATATTCGGTTTCAATTAAGGACACACATTTAATGTAGTTTAAAATGCAAATAATGTTTTGATAACTGTGAGTGGAGCTAATGTCAAATAGATTAATTTTGCAGTTATGGCTTTTGATGATACACTAATTAATAATTCATATCAAACCATTTTTGAATAATACATCTAATTGTTAATAAAGTCAATTGAATTATCTACTAGAACACCTTTAAGATTTGTCAATCAATATTGGAAATTGAATCCTATATCAATAACTGGGACATTTGAGGCATTAACTGAATAAATAGGAGGATACTTTATAAATATAGGAACAAATGCAATAAATACTAAATTTCCATTTGATATCTCTCATAAGATTAGCACAAATCTTAAATAAAACATTATTTATACTAATGGATATTTA